AAGGCAGCTTACATCTCCTCCTCCATCTTATCCTCACAACAACCCTGTGAGGTAGGTTGGGCTGAGAGTCTGTGACTGGCCCAAAGTCACCCAGTTGGCTCGGGGCCCAATTCAAAGTGTTGTCTGTGGCATATACAGCCCTAAACAATACCCAAGGGAGTGCCTCTCCACATATTCCTACCCATCCACTGCAATCCTCTCCACCTCTGAATACCCTCCCTAGTGAGATCCAAGGGGAAAGGGCTTGGAGGAGGGCATTCCCTGCAGTACGGCCAGACTCTGGAATTCACTTCCCAGGGATATCCACCTGGCGCCAACTCTTCTTTCCTTTAGGTGCCAGGTGGGAACTTTATTATTTAAATGTGTATTTGGTCTATTTAATACTTCGGTATCTTGTTATGGATTGTTTTAATTCTGGGTAATTTACTAGCTGTATTATGGTGTGTGGGGCTATATTTTATAATGAGCTCTTCATCTAATATGTTATTGTTTTATCAATTTTATCTGTTTATTTATTGTTTTTATTGTATCCTATGTATTGTACATCAGGGATGCGGTGACGCAGTGGATTAAACTGCTGAACTGCTGGGCTGGTTGATCAAAAGGTCGACAGTTCGAATCCACTGACAGGATGAGCTCCTGTGCTTCATCCCAGATCTTGCCAACCTTGCAATTCAAAAGCATGCAAATGCAAGTAGATAAAAAGGTACCACTACAGAGGCCAGAAGGCTCTCTGTGTAGCCCGCATTGCAATCAAAACAATGATACAGCTGAAAGAAGACAACAACAATAGCTAAAACTGTAATGCATATTACAGTTAAAATGCTACAGAAAATAAAACAAGAAGATAAGCACAATATAATCAACAAGACAATTAACAGTGAACCAGGAGGAGGATCAATAAATCATAATCTAAAAACAAGTACTAAATTTTTAAAAATGTCCTGTTATCTGTCCTAAACAACCAACCAACCAGTTTCTTGAGTTGGCACCAGGTTTGAGTGTTATGGGAGAGGAAGAAGAATGCCTGCCTCCCCATTTTATCCCTCAGCTGCATGATTTTAGAAACCCCTTTCTTGTCCCCCCTCACTCTCTTCCAAGTTGAACAGTCCCAGTTTTACAGCCACTCCTTCTATGGGAGATGCTCCAGCCCCTTGATCATTTCCAGTTCTCTTCCCTGCACTTTCTCCAAATCAAAAATGTCGATATTTAGCTGGGACAATCAGGACTGGTGATAATTTTTAGTGCATTTGCACCAGACATGTGTACAATAGGAATAAGATACAGAAATTGTATATTCGATTCCCTTTCCTCATTCCATGCATGTGTCTGGCTTGTCCCCTTTGTGGGTTCTTTGGTGGTTAATAAGTATTTCTTTCTGAGTGAAGCTGCTCTTACATTCTGTACATTTGTACAGCTTTTCCCCAGTGTGGGTTCTTTGATGTTTAGTAAGACCTTCATTTTGATTGAAGCTCTTCCCACATTTGATACATGTGTAGGGCTTCTCCCCAGAGTGGGTTCTTTGATGAATAGTAAGCATTTCACTGTGACTGAAGCTCTTTCCACATTCCACACATGTGTACGGCTTCTCTCCAGTGTGGATTCTTTGATGCCTAGTAAGACGTCCACTTGAAATGAAGCTCTTTCCGCACTCCATGCATACATATGGCTTCTCCCCAGTGTGGGTTCTTTGATGTAGGGTAAGGACTTCATTTTGACTGAAACTCTTTCCACATTCCATGCATGTGTATGGCTTCTCCCCAGTGTGTGTTCTTCGATGCCTAGTAAGATGTCCACTCCGACTAAAGCTCTTTCCACATTCTGTGCATAGATATGGCCTCTCTCTAGTGTGGGTTCTTTGATGCTCAGTAAGATGTGCACTCTGACAGAAGCTCTTTCCACATTCTGTGCATGAGTATGGCTTCTCCCCTGTGTGGGTTCTTTGATGATTAGTAAGTTTTCCACTGTCAATGAAGCTCTTTCCACATTCTGTGCATGAATATGGCTTCTCCCCTGTGTGGATTCTTTGATGCTTAGTAAGTTTTCCACTGTCAATGAAGCTCTTCCCACATTCTGGGCATGTGTATGGCTTCTCCCCAGTGTGTATTCTTTGATGTTCAGTAAGATGTCCACTCCGTTTGAAAGTCTTCCCACATTCCATGCATTTATATAGTCCCTTTCTAGTGTGTGTTCTTTGACACTTTCTACTTTCATGGAAACTCTTTCCACAATCTATGCATTTATTTGGTTTCATTCCTTTATACTTTTTTTGACGACTAGAAAGTTTTTCCAGCTCACTGAAGTTCTTACCATGTTTTATACATTTATGTGGTCGTTCTCCCGTCTGGTCTGTTCCATCTTTTGTAGTCCTTCCACCAGCACTTCTGCTCTGCCTGCATTCCATGATTTTATATGGCTTCCTCAATTTTTGGATCCCTCTGGCTCACTAAAACGTCTCCCTCTCTGAGGCTCTTTCCATAGGATGTGTGTTCATCTGGGTTCTGCACATTGTGGGTTCTTTGAAGGGGAGAGTCCCTCGTACCTGCAGCAATGCTCTTTTCACATTGTGCTCTTTTCACTTTGTAGTTTCTACAAATTGGATTCAGTTTTCCTCAATTGTTTGCTATGTTGTGACACCCTAGACCCTTTCTCCTTTCTCTTTTCTGAACTCCCAGAATGAAGGTTTATGGTTGCCAGCACTCTAATTATTTCCTCCTGTTCTTTATGTGGTTTTCCTCGTGCTTTTCAGATTCTGTTTCATTTGGAAATGTCTCTTTTCTCACATGTCCCAGATGATGTGATGCAGGGATCTGAATAATTCAATTGCCTTGCAATTCATCTGCTTGGGAAGAAGGAGAAAATGAAAATCTTGGTATGAGTGGAAGGCTCAAACAGCTGAATTCATTCAAGCTCAAGGCAAACTTAGCATCTTTCATGTCAACATCTCCAATATTCTCCCTTTTTTAACTCTTTATGCCCTGCCAAAACCTCACTCTCTCAAGGATTGCCTTAAAGAGAAGACATCACATCCATCGAACTGTTGTTGAACTCTGTACTGTCTAGGTAGCCAGGCACATATTGTTTCAAGGAAGAAACAAAATCTAATTTTCCAGGGTGCTGCACTGGCAGTAAGGTTGAGATCAAAACACAGCTCACGCAACTTTAATCAAATACAAAGAGAAATAGCCTAAGAAGCAGACACACAGGCCAAGAATTGTAAGGACCATTGCAGAGAAAAGGTCCAGGCCACGGACTGCTCTCCTGCAGCAGCTCCCCGTAGGGCGGGAAGCAGGGCCCCTCTTGGACGCCGACATTTCCAGGCAGGAATTCTTCCAGCCCTGCCAGGAGGGCTGCAACTGGACATGGGAGGGGCCCCTACATGGGGCTGAAAGGTTCTGGGACCCCTCAGAAAGGCTATGCAAGATCCGGGTTTGCCCACAAGGGGGGGTCTTTGATCACATGAAGCATCTGCAATGCAGGCAGAACAGCAACCGTCACTCAGTCAGCGAGGCTCCCAGCAGCTGGAACGGGCGGACAGCAAAGCCGGCTGTCCTTTGCAGCAAAAGCTCAGAGGTTGCCTGGATTAGAACTACGTCCGCTTCAGGGTCACATCCTGCCCAGCTCTGCCCGCTGGCAAAATGCTTTCTGCACCACACGCCAGCACTGCTACTGCCAGCAATCGACCCATAGATGGCCAAGGTTGGGCGGCGGTGACTGAGGGAGGTTCTGCCATGGTGGATGGAGGGAGAACAGCCTGTGCCGCATCGGACTAACCCGGCCCCAGCGTGGAATGAAGGCCAGCAGCGAGCCCCTCAGCACATCCTTTCCATTGCTGGTTCCCTGTGCCTGTCCTGTGTCCACCTTCCATGCCAAGAGGCCGAACTGCAGGCCTGCCAGCCTGGCAAAGAGCTAGAAGGTGGGCTAACAGAGGGCAGAAGACCCTGAGGGGCCCTCCAAGGCCTGTGCCCCATCTCTGAGCCACCTCCCTAGAAGGGAAAAAGTCTGAGACGGGGTCTCTGTGAGGTAATCCCAAGAGGGCTCACACAAGCCATTCTTTATTAATGATTTGTATGAGAAAGTGCAGGGAACAATTATCACCTTTGCAGTTGACCCAAAACTGGGTGGGGCAGCTCCTCCCCTGGGAGACAGAAAGAGGATTCAGGGGGATCTAGAGGAGTTGGAGCACTGGGATGAAAAGAGGAGAATGAAAAGTTTAGGCCTCATCTAGGTTGAAAGAACTGGGCATGCTTAGGCTCAGGAAGGAAGCCTGAGTGGGGATATGATAGCACTTTCCAAGTACCCACGATGCTGTCACTCAGAGGAGGGCAAGGATCTGTTCTTGGTCATCCCAGGGTACACAACATGGAATTAGGGCTTCTTGTAATTTTAGTCCTTATCATGGCTATGTATCAGGAAAAATTTCCAGACTGTTAGAGTAGTACAACAAGGGATCAATTATCTGGGGATTTTATGGTCTTTTCCACACTGGAGGCATTCAGGATGCAACCGGACAGCCATCTGAGAGGGACGGTTTGATTGGGGCCTGCACAGAGCAAGGGGGCTGGACCTGATGGCCCTCCAGCGCATTCCAGCCCTTCTCCCCTTTCATACTCCCTTGCAGGGCTGTCCTGGAATCACAGAGGAGTGGAGTCGCAGGGGTCCTGGGAGGCTCCTGCAAAAGCATTCATGACAGGTGGCCGTCTAGAGGCCTCAAGAACACCTCCAGGGGCAGGACGGCGGCTCTGGGAGTGTGGCTGGAGGGAGGGAGGGAGGGAGGGAGGGCAGGCACAAGAAGAGCAGGAAAAACACGGCCTTCCCCTGCCAGCCCTGCAAAGACAGCATGATCCACCCAGGGGAATTTGCCTTCTCCAACTCCAATGCAGCAGGCCAAGGCATTTAGTTAGTCCAGGCTTTGCCTTGAACCTCGTCCTTGGAAGGCAAAGAAGAGCTCAGATGCTGGCCATGTTCCCCCTTGTACTGTCTCCACTCCTGCCCAGCAGGATGGAAACAGAGGAGCCCTGTGGCTTCACCATGGGGGCTCTTTTCTGGGAAGACTTCCAGAATCATAAATATTATTTTCATCTCCCATGCATTGATGTGGTTCCTCTCTGGTGTGCCTTCTCTGCTATTTTGGAATGCATTAACAGAAGTATTAACTTGCAAATCATGAGAAGTAGTAGTTCCCTTATACTCCTCACTGGTCAGACCCCATCTGGAATACTGTGTCCAGTTCTGGGCACCAAAATTTCAGAAAGATGTAGAAAAATTAGAAAGGGTCCAGCGGAGGACAACAAAAATGATCCAGGGTTTGGAAACACTGCCCTGGGAGGAGAGACTGAGAGAACTGGGCACGTTCAGCCTTGAGAAGAGAAGATGGGGGGAGGCATGATATCCCTCTAGAAGTACCTCAAAGGCTGTCACAAAGTGGAAGGTCATCTCTTCTTGGTAATGCCAGAGTGTAGGACACGGAATAATTAATTCAAGTTGAGTCAACCCAGATTCAGGCTGGACATCAGGAAAAGCTTCCTCACAGTCAGAGCAATATGACAGTAGAACCAGCTGCCTAGAGAGGTGGGGGGCTCTCCCACACTAGAGATATTCAAGGGGAAACTGGGCGGCCATCTGAGTGGGATGGTGTCACATTGTGTCTGCAACAGCAGGGAGTTCAACCTGATGGCCTTCATGGCCCTTTCCAACTCTACTATTTTATGATTCTTCAACTTTTAATTATTGGTTGGATTAAAAATATACTCAATACACTTATGAGGAATGTTAATGTTTGACCACACACTGAGCCCAGTCCCCTCGTTTTTTCTGGAACTTCTAGATTCTGAGAATTGAGAACAGTCTGCCAAGGAGAAGACTCATTTTTCCTCCTCTTCCTTACCTGGCTTCTGTCCCGCCTCTTCCCCTCCCGTCAGTCTTGGAACGCCCCTCTGCTCACTCTGCGCTCTCTTGATTTTGTTCAAAGTGCAGAAGGAGCCGTGCACTGCTCAGTGGTCGGTCAATCCTCTGCTTGAGTACAGGGGCAAAATGAAAATGTGGCGATGAGTTAAAGGCCTGGACAGCTGATTTCACTGGGGATTGACAGAAAGTGTGGCTTCTGCTGCTGTTTCAGCACCTGGAAAGTTTTCCCTTTCCCACTGTGTGCGGGCTTGCATCCTGCCCGGGTTTCCATGAGTCCTGCTTTCCCCATTTCGCTGGGCAACCTGCCCTCTCCTCGGAAGCAAGCAGGAGCGAGTCTGGAGAGTGTTCCGTTCACCGCTAACCCCAAGAGAGAAGGAAATGCAGGACCCTCCGTGGCGCCCCTGCAAAACAGGCGAGCGCCGCTCGGGGGCGGCCCGGCCTTCAGAGCAGAGGCTCCCGGCGGTTTCGCGCAAGGATTTCCGGGAAAACTCTTGTCCGGGGCGGCAGCACTAGCGGGGCACGGCCTGGGTCTCCGGCGTGGGAGGCAAAAAAGCGCGGCTCGCCTCTGAACGCAGCCCCGGTTCCCGCCGCCTTCTAGCCCAGCAGGAGAAACCCTCGGCCTCCCTCAGATGCTCGCGGCTCCAGCTCCCGGGCATGAAGCAGCGCAATGGTCGCGGGCACAAAAGCCGCCCCCGGTATCGCGTTCCCACAGCCCCCGAGCCTGGAGGGAGCTCCGAGCGGGCAGCAGGCTCTGCAAGCGCAGCCCCGCAGCGGGGGAGGCGCGTCGCAGGCGCGGTGGCTGCGGGGCCCGTTCCTTTCATGGCGGGGTGTGGGGGGGGGGGAATCCCTCCTCCCCTTCTTCCTCCAGCCCCTCGCAAGGCTCGCCTCGCTGCACCGGGGCCCGGGCCCCCGAATCTCCCGGGGCTGAATTCCTCTCCGAGGAGGGTTCCCAAGAAGGGATCGCGCCATGGAAACCTTGCCACCCTTTGCACCGGAGGAGCAGGGATCGGATCCCACAACCGGCCCCTCCGTTCCAATGCCGGGGGAGGCTGACGGGCTCTCCCCGCTCCCCCACACTCGGGCCCTATTCCTGTTCTTTCCTCCCACCCCCACGAGTCCTCCTCCTGCCCGGTCGCGGATCCTACCAGGCCGATCGCCCTGCGGCCTCCCGCTCGCCCGTTTCATGTCCCTGAGAAGCGCGCCGCTCCTCGCTGAACCCTCCCAGGCACTGTGTGCGAGGCGACCCCTCCGCCCGCCCCCTTGGAACCTCCGCCCCGGGGAGAAAAGGAAAAGCCGGATCCCGGGATCGCAACTGGGTGCTCTGGGTTTCCCATGGCTTCTCCCGGTACCATCTCCCAAGCCACCTTCCAGCCCAGCTTCCTTCAAGGGCGGCACCACAAAATCCGCGGCAGCTCCAGGCCACTGCGCACCGCGAGGCGCAAACGGGAATGCGCAGGAGGGTTGCGCGGCTCCACCGGAATCCTCGGTCAATGGGGAAGCGCGAACGCTGTGCACGCGCCCCGGGGAGGGATCCTGGAGCTGCGCGCACAGCGTGGACGCGTCCCGCTGTCACTTGCTTGGACCTTGGTGTTTCTGCGCCAGGGAGGAAGTCCTGCTGACTGGCCGCCCCTGTAGCAGCTCAGCCCGGGGAAGAAAGCCCGGTGTGGCTTGTGGAAGGGGGTGGGGGTGTGTCGAGTACGTACCTGAAAGATCACTTCTCCTAACCAGCCGCTATGATCGAGACCTGGGGCCTCCCCAACACGACTCCTCTAAGAAAGGCTCGGCAGATGGCAACAAGGAGAAGGGCCTTTTCCCTGGTGGCTCCATTTATTCACCCCCTGCTCAGTGCAGGACTCCCAAGTGACACCACCGCTCACGGAGGGCTGCCCAGCTCTCTAGAATGCCTCCAGTGCGGGAGAGCCCACCTGCTCCCCAGGCAATTGGCTGCATTATTGTCAGTGACAAGCCTTGTGCCATGGGACACGGTCCGACGGCTCTCACTTGGTTCCTTCCACCAGCTGGAGCAGCTCATTTAATCAGAAACTTAGCGGGTCACCTGAGCCTAGGATGCTGGCCTGTTGTTCCTTTTACCTAAACAAGGTGATTCTCGACATTGAAGTCCTGGCTGATTTCAGAGCAACAAGCCAGTTTCCCCATCCAGACAACATGCTTACTTTCTGGATTCTGGCTGAGCTGCACCTTCTGGCAGGGGCAGCCAAGCGGGAGGGAATGAGCTGCAGGCAGCGACACAACCGGCGTGCCAGCATGAAGCACATCTATTTTAAACCAGGATTCTGCAGCTTCTTGGCTCACGGCACCTCTTGTACTGTGTGAATGCCATGAACAGTTCCCCCATGCAGGCCTAATTTCCGACCCAGTGATGGGACACAGGGCTTGTTATGTAGGAACACTGAATCAGACCAGGGTGGGCTATCCAAAGAGTGCTGGCCATCACCACCTCTTGTGGTAGCAAATTGTGAGAGCCAGTGTGGTGTAGTGGTTAGAGCGTGGAACTGGGAATCGGGCGATCCTGTTCTAGTCCCCTCTCGGCCATGGAGCTCCCTGGATGTCTTCCAGGCATTCACAGACTCTCCACACACTTCCCCTCTGGATCCTTCTGTGAGGATGAGGCTGAGAGGAGGAGCAAAGTTATCTAAGCTCCCTTGAGTTCCTTGAAAGGAAGAAGGTGGGATTTAAATATAGCAAAGCAATCGTGTAACTTAATGATGCACAGTGTGAGGAAATACTTCCACTGTCCTGCAACTCCCACCAGTCCTCCTCATGAGGTGACCCTGCTTCTTGTATCATGAGAGGGGCAGAAAACGGTCTTGCCATCCACAGCCCAGGCACCCGTTTGCACACCTGTGTGACACTCACTTTTTCGCTGAGTCCAGCGGCTCTGCACGCTGCAGCTCCTCCTCGCAGGGGAGTCCACCCAGGCCCTTGGTCATCGCGAAGCTCCGCAGCCCCTGCTTTTAGGGGAGGGGGGCAGCGCTGCGCTGCGGCCCAGCTGTGCTCGCACTGCATAACTTGCTTCTGGGGTCGGTGATTAAGCCATGGCTTCTTGTTGGGTGAACTGGTAAGGCATCCAGCCCTTAAACAACCCATTACTCCAGGTTTGGATGACACACCAAGCAAACTACAATGGAGCTGATTGGAAGCTGCTGAGAAAGTGTGGTGTCACAAGCCGTACATCCGTTTTTTCCTGCTGGAGCGCAGTAGCCCATGTGCCATGGACTGGTGTACTGTGCTGTGCAAACCATTAATAGAGCAGTGCCCAGGCTATCTACTTCTGTGCCAATACCTGCCCAGGTTCATCTACTGTTGACATACCACCTCCTGCCAGCTCAGGTGTAATCTTTGTGTCACATGATTACATATCTGTAGATCAGCCTTCCATCACCTGATGGCTTTCAGAGGCATTTGGACCACAACTCCCAGAATTCCCATCCACCAGGGCCACAGGCTGGGAATTCTGGGTGTTGCAGTCCAAACATGTCTGGAAGGCACAAGGTTGGGGAAGGCTGCTGTACACTGTTGTCACCTGGCCAGAAAACTTTGGCTGTTGACCAGTGTAGAAATGTCATAAATAAATAAACAATTTTAATTGAATATACGTTTAATTTTGGAGTGGGTGGTGGATCAACATGCAGGACTCTCCATGAAGTGGGATGAAGCTCCCAGTTCAGGTGTGGAAGACCATTATTATTATTATAACATTTCTATGCCGCCCCTTGCCGAAGCCTCGGGGCGGCTTACAACACAATAAAATACATTGAGATACAATAGAACATAATAAATTACCACTAAATACAAAAATACAAAAATACACTGAGATACAAACATAATAATATAAAATTAAAATTAACAGTATAAAATAAGTAAATAAAGAATATAGGAGGAGAAGAGAGAAGGAAGAAGAAGTTGCCCTGGCCAGATCATATATTTTAACAATTAAAATGATGTTTAAATAAAAAGGTCTTTACCTGGTGCCGAAAAACCAGTAACGACGGTGCCAGGGGAACCTCTTTGGGGAGTGAATTCCATAGGTTGGGCGCCATCGCAGAGAAAGCCCTCCTCCGAGTACTTACTCTCCTAATTTCTTTCATGGAGGGTTCCCGGAGAAGGGACTCTCCCGCAGATCTCAAGGGGCGGTCGGGCATATACGGACGTAAGCGCTCGTTCAGGTAGCCAGGACCCAAGCCGTTTAGGGCTTTATAGGTCATAATCAACACCTTGAATTGGGCCCGGGCTTCAATGGGAAGCCAGTGAAGCTGACGGAGGACTGGAGTCATGTGAGCATAATGCCCCGTCCCCGTCAGCAACCTGGCAGCTCTATTTTGAACCAATTGAAGTATCTGGACCGTCTTCAGGGGAAGCCCCATGTAAAGCGCGTTACAGAAGTCTAGGCGGGAAGTCACCAGCACGTGTGTCACCGTCGCCAGGCAGTCGTACTCCGGGTAGGGGCGCAGCTGAATAATAACGCAGCTGAATAACCATGGACTGCACTGCTCCCTCCAGCACACCCCACCCCTGGGTGGGCTTGCTGCTGCCACCCCCCATGGGTGTTCCAAAAAGTCCTGCCACCTGTGCTCTACCATGACATTTGCCGCAATGAGAAGGTGGCCAGTGGGAATTCAGCAACGACCCCCCCCCCCCCGAGAGCCACAAGCACCTGCCTTAGCTTTTCATAGAGCCCCCCAGGCCGAAATGCCAGGTTCTGTGGAGGTCTTTCCCTGGACCAAGGCATGGGAGGGTGTCCATGGTAAATTGCCTGTACAGACAGGTAAGGCTGATAAAACTGACTCAAAGCGACAGTCTAATTACAGCAGTCATGTTATGTTTTTCAACTCTAATGGAATGATTGCTTTTGTTTGCGTTTCAAAGCCGTAACAATAAAATTCACTCTCAACAATATTTCTGCAACCAGTTTTGTCCTTGAAGCTCAGTTATGATAATTATAAAACACCTGTAAACCTATAAATACTGTTCTCATGAAACATGTGTTTTCTGTTTATAACACGGTGGAACCCAGTTCCTTTCATGGAGTGGGTTGTTAGATACCAAAGGCTGATAACTGCTGCTTCACACAGCTATCACGAGCCCGGTCCTTTTTCGCATCAAGCCACCCCAACTTCAACAATATTTACTCCCAGTAACGAGCACCAAGACGGTGCTTTGCCTGAGTCATATGCTGAGCCAACAGCAGACTTTCGGTGTGATGCAGGACTGCTTCTCCGTGCGTTTTAGTGCTTTGGCCGCAGGTTTGAATCCTCATAGAACAGCTGCCAAGGCAAGCTATATATTGTTCAAGATGCCATTTTCCTTGCGGAGTCCCTTTATTTATTTATTTTATTATTTATTTAAAACATTTCTATGCCGCCCCCATCGCAACAAAGCCTCGGAGCGGCTCACAACATTAAGCATCATAGTACCAAGTTCATCTGAATTATTAGTTTTAATATCGGCACAAATAAATTTAAAAGATCATCTTATTAATGATTATTATCGATAAAACGTGCATTTTAACCACAACTGTTCATAATTTTAAAAGGTTCTTCTAAAAGTGTCAGTTATTCATGCCAATATGAATCTTAACGTCAGCAATAACCATGCTTGGAAAGCGCCTCCTACCAGAAGACTTGATTTCTCGGACGTAGTTGCTGGGGAACCATCCCGTCTTCCCGTTGAGGGACCCCTCCCACCAGCCCCTTTCCTCCACGCGAGTGACGTAAATGATGTCGCCCTTGTTGATTGACAGCTCATCCTCGTTGGTCTGCTTGAAGTGGAACCGGGCGTTGACCACCAGTTGGCCTTCTTTAGGCCTTCTTTTACTAGGAACTAAAGAACCCACCTCCCATCATATGGAATCGGGATAGTTCTTAATTTGCTAGAGTGACCTGCTTTGCAAAACACGAGAAGCACCATGGGCAACGTTGATTGTCATGTTGTTTGAACCCAGCCTGGGTTAGCCTTGGTGGCATCTTCTCTTCCAGAGTCTCCCTAAGAAGCCATGCTGCATCCGAGGGCTTATTTTGCTCACAGCTGACATTTGTGACCCCTCTTTTGACAGCCACTGACAGCCCCGTCCAAGTGTCCAAGTGGCTGGCAGAAACTTTGTCCTTTCCCCCCCAAGAGTTGGCTCACATTTTCAACTTCTCAGGTGCATGCCTGCAGGGATTTGAAGCCTCAGCAGGAGAAATGTCTGGAAGAGCCCGCTGCCAAAGTGGGGCACGTAGCAACCCTAGACATTGTCCAGAAGGGGCTCCAACTCTCCACCCCCCTCGTTTCCCTCACAGCTGTCAAGATCCGAGCTATCAAACCAAATGCAGAAGGAATCCTTGCAGGTGAAAAGGGCTGGGGGAGGATTCACACCTCTTTGTCTAAAGAGCCTTATTTTCTCCCCATCCCAGTCTGTACCCATCTTAGAGCACCGTTTGCAGTTTGTTCCCAACCTCTGAGTGCTTGTGCAAGCGCAAATATGCATCTTGCCCTTTTGTAGGGAATATTACTCTTGACAGCTGGTTGTTAAAACACTGGGTCCCTTTAAAAAGGGGCTCTGACTGGGCAATGTTCTAAAAAATATCGGGGCATCCTATGTATATTGCTGCAGGGTGGGGGGGGGGGGGGATGTGTGAACCTGCCTAGTGAAGCCTTCAAACAAAATTAAGCAGCTGTCAGAGTTAGACACAGAGTGCCCCCCCCCCCCGAATGAAGCCACACTTGCTGGCACCCACAGGCATTAAGCCCCTGAAGCCTTTGAAACAACAAGATCTTTTCCTTAAGGAAGCCGTCTCACAGCAGGGGAAAGGGCACAGATGCGTAACTGTGCTGCTCACCTGCTCATCTCCCCCGAATTTAAACTGCATAAACTGCAAAGCTATGCACTGATTAGAGAAGTCTGCACTGTGTGACTGAACATGTTACTGCAGCTTCAACTAGATGGTCCTATTAGAATTAAGTAGAATTAATTAGCATTACTTGATTGATGAAAAAACAAAAGAAAGTGTGTGCTAGGGTTTCCTCAGTAAGCAGGCTGTTTCAGGTGTCTGGGTTTCACAGTCTCCTATTCCGAGAGGGATGGTGTATATTGGTGTCCTGCAACAGCAGGGGGGTTGGACCTAAAACATAGAAAACAGAGAGAGTCAGAAGGGGCCTCCCGGGCCACCTAGTCTGACCTCCGGCACCAGCCGGCTCCACTCACGACATGCCCACCATGTGGACGTCCAGCCTATCCTTGAACACCCACACCGATGGGGCCTCAGCCACCTCCTGTGGGAGCCCATTCCATACCCTCAGGGTCGTAACTGTCAGGAAGTGCTTCCTGGCATCCAAATGAAACCTTGGCTCCCTGAGCTTTGCTCCGTTGGAGCATGTTCTGCCTTCCTCTGCAGGGGAGAACAGGTCTCTACCCATCTCCATGTGACATCCCCTCACATACCTGTATGTTGCCAACATATCCCCTCTGAGTTTCCTCCAGGCTGAAGAGACCCAGTTCCCTCAGTCTCACCTCATACCTGATGGCCTTCTTGGCCCCTTCCAACTCTACTGTTCTAGGGGTCTATATTTTGGCTACAGACTCACAGAAGATGCTTTTTTTGCCATGATTTTTCTAGCTGCCTGCTCACGTGCCCTAGTTTTTCCTGCAGCATCAGAGTCTCCATCTTTAGGGCTGATTGTTGTGGGCTTTTGTCCCCCTGCCAGCTTTGAAGTAAGACTTGTTCAGGCAAGGAGAGGAATCAATGCCTCCTTCCAGCTTCTTTTTGTTCTGCTTCTCATATTCTATCCATGTGCCACGCAGCCCAGGCTGGCTCTTCCAAGGTTTTGCTTTCTTTTCTTCACACTGCCAGGTTTCCAAGCAACCCGCCCCTTTTGAGTGCAGAGCCTTTGGGTCGTTAATTGCTAGCATGAAAACCAAACAGTCCCTCCCCTCCAGCCCTGGTACTGAATTGCAAAATCCCTTGCAGCCCCAGGCAGAAGGCGAAGAAAGTCCGGACTGCACAGACGTAGCCCAGAGATGTCTTCTGGAAAGTGGGTTCCTCTTTGGCTAATATGGATGGGGACTCTGGTAGCCCTGAGCCAGCAAGCGCCAAGGTGAATATGTTGGGCAGGGGTGGGCTAGCTGGACTAAATCCTGTTTTTCCTTCAAGTCAACCTACCTCAACATGATGTCTTTCTGATATTTTGGATTTAAGCTCTCATCAACCCAAGCCAACATGGCTAGTGCTTGAAGATGATGAGAATTATAGCCCAAAACATCTAGACAGCACACAGTTGAAGAAGATTGATCTAAATAAAAGCTACTTTTAAAAAGACATGAAAAGAAAGAAAAAGGAGGGCCTCAGTGTTTCTAGGAACTATATAGCAAACAGAAGTTCAACAGGCGAAGCTTTCAGCATTATTATACTGCCTTATTGCATAAACCTTTGCCTGCTCTATTTCTGCCTGGTGCTGATGGGTTAAAGATGGCTTCTCCAACCCAGCATCCTTCCGATATGTCAGGATGACAACTCCTGTCATCTGCAGGCAGTATGGAGATGCTGGCTCTGGATGATGGGAGCTATCAGCCTGACACAACTAGATTTGGCTGATTTGGGAAGACAGGGATGAGGCACCCCCATGCAGCGGGCTGCTCAATAAGGCCATGTTCTGATGTTAGTTGATTTAGTTGTGTGATGGTGTTACTAGGCTGCTTTTGTAACTTAAAAGAAAAAGAGGCACAGGTGTTAGCACATATTCTCCCTTTCCCTTCTCTCTCTTTAATAATATTGTGCATTGTTTCATTTAATAATGTCTAGCTCCATGCATATTTTATTTTTAAAATACTGTACAGCAAGGAGGTGAGATAATTAGATTGTGCTACGATGTTTAGCAAATGCTAAGGAAACTATTCCACATTTTCAAATGTGTTTAATATTAAGTTATTTAATGCACTATTAATCATTTTGGCCTCTGATTTATTATACACATTGAATGCAATTTTGAGATGATGTGAAATGTAAACCTATGCATATTAACTCAAAGGTTAGCCTGATTAAATGTAATGGGGTTTACTCTTGAGTAAGTAAATGGCTAGACCATTTCAGGCTGCAATCGTCTGAGCCCCATTTAATGCAGTGAGACTGAGTATGGAGCATAGAAATGTGCATTTGCTCATGATTTTGTGTTAGCTTTTTGGAAAGTCATAAATCCCTGGACATGCAATATATTACTTTTTCTTAATGGGTGAGACCTGCCAGGATTAAGTGACCAGCAAGGGTTACACAATGATTTACACAGCATAAACGATGCAACTCTACACTACTCTATTTAGAAGTAAGTCCCATGGGGCATTTGAAGGTACCTACTCCCAGGTAAGTATGTTTAGAATTGCAGTTTCTTTGGTACAATGGGATTGCAGATCAGGACTGAAGTCTGTACTGGAGTACCTATAAATGACTACGTGAAATTTTTGCAGCTATGTGGTGACATGCAGCACCCCCACATCCTCACACACGTTCTTTCATAATCAACTCATTTATGCAAAATTGGAAATTCCAGAATTGTGCTCAGTTTTAAGAACCAGCAGAGACTGGGAAATTCAGCCATGGAGACTGCTGCCAACAACAATACTATGAAAGTACAGACATATATTATTTCCTCATGCACACACTGAACTGTTTTTGTTTAATTTTTAAAGGAGTGATAGAAATGAACTGTATGCACAACAAAACAGGATTCCGTAGATTAAGGCTTCGGTTCTCAGTACAGACTTACTTAGGAGTAAGCCACATTGAACTCAATGGGATTTACCTCTGAGTAAGACATACTTAAGATTGCACTGTAAGATGCCTTGCTAGTTCTAGCACTATCTTTCTAATCCTTCCCTTTTTAAAAACTCATCCTTTTTTCTAATTCAGGTTTTTTGTTTCTGATGTCAGCCAGCCAGATGTGTCACAACCAGGGAATGAGAGCTTGACAATTGCCTGTTGTTATATCCCCGACCTTACATCCTCTGATATTAATTTGAAACTGCACCTTACATCCTCTGATATTAATTTGAAACTGCTCCTTTTCCCTGGAACTGCACATTTGAACATGGTTGCACTTTTTAAAAGCCCAGCTCTGTTCCATTCTCCCCAGCAGTGAATCAGCATTCTGTTTTCCCCACCCTTGCACAGTCAGTGACTATTTATTTATTTAGAAAATTTCTATGCCGCCCCATTCGCCGAAGCCTCGGGGCGGCTCACAAATATATAAATTAAAATATTATAAAATAAAAATATAAATATAAAACAGGTTAACAATATAAAATAAGTTGCCCTGGCCAAAGAATAAAATAAATAAATAGTATTAACAGTTAAAATGACGTTTGAATAAAAAGGTCTTCGCCTGGCGCCGAAAAACAAATAACGACGGCACCAGGCAGACCTCTCTGGGGAGCGCATTCCATAAATTGGGCGCCACCGCAGAGAAAGCCCTCCTCCAAGTACTTACCCTCCTAATTTCCTTCATGGAGGGTTCCTGGAGAAGGGCCTCTCCCACAGATCTCAGGGGGCGAGCGAGCATATATGGACGTAAGCGCTCCTTCAGGTAACCAGGACCCAAGCCGTTTAGGGCTTTATAGGTCATCACCAACACCTTGAATTGGGCCCGGACTTCAATGGGAAGCCAGTGAAGCTGACGGAGGACTGGAGTCATGTGAACATAACGCCCAGTCCCCGTCAGCAGCCTGGCAGCTCTATTTTGAACCAATTGAAGTATCCGGACCGTCTTCAAGGGTAGCCCCACGTAGAGCGCGTTACAGAAGTCTAGGCGGGAAGTCACCAGTGCGTGTGTCACCGTCGCCAGGCAGTCGTACTCCAGGTAGGGGCGCAGCTGATGGATCAGCCGAAGCTGAAGGAAAGCGCTTCTCACCACTGCTGTCACCTGAGCTTCCAATGAAAGCTCTGGGTCGAGGAGCACTCCCAAGCTGCGGACCTTGTCCCTAAGAGGGAGTGCAACCCCATTCAGGACTAGGTTCAGTTCACCCTCACCGAAGCCCGATCCGCCAACCAATAGGACCTCCATCTTGTCTGGATTGAGCTTCAGTTTATTGGCCCTCATCCAGCCCATTACCTCGGCCAGGCACCGGTTCAGCACAGCCACTGCCTCACCCAGATTGGTGGAAAATGAGAGGTAGAGCTGGGTATCATCAGCGTACTGATGATTCCACAGCCCACACCTCTTAATGACCTCTCCCAGCAGATTCATGTAGATGTTAAACAGCAAAGGGGATAAAATGGACCCCTGCGGTACTCCATGGCATAGCTGCCATGGCGCAGAGCCATAGTCTCCCAGCACCACCTTCTGGAATCGGTCATTGAGATAGGAGCAGAACCACTGCAAGGCAGTGCCTCCAACCCCCAATCCCGCTAGCCTATCCAGAAGGATACCATGGTTGATGGTATCGAAAGCCGCTGAGAGGTCCAAAAGAACCAACAGGGATGCACTCCCCCTGTCCTTCTCCCTGCACAGGTCATCGTACAGGGTGACCAAGGCAGATTCAGTACTGTACTCGGGTCTGAAGCCGGACTGAAATGGGTCCAGATAATCAGTTTCATCCAAGAGAGCTTGGAGTTGTCCCACCACCACCCGCTCCAACACCTTGCCCAGAAACTGGATGTTGGCCACTGGTCTATAATTAGTGGCCATCTCTGGATCCAGTGACTCTTTCTTCAGGACCGGTCGGACTACCACCTCCTTTAAAGGGGCAGGTACCCGACCCTCCCTCAGAGAAGCGTTAACCACTTCCAAGATCCAGATCCCAATCCCGTGCTTGGAGTTATTTATTAACCAAGATGGGCAAGAGTCCAATAGGCAAGTGATGGGATGTACTCGTCCAAGCACCTTGTCCACATCATCAGGCCGCAATAACTGAAATTCATCCATTAATTTTGGACCAGATGGCGGCATTGGTATCTCCCCAGAAACCTATGAGTCACTAGTAGAGTCTAGCTCGTGACGAATCTGAGTGATTTTCTCCCTGAAATGCTTGGCAAAATCGTCACAGCGGGCCTTCGAGGGTGGAACCAGATCTTTCTTAGGACCTGGACGAACCAGGCCTTGCAGCACTCGAAAAAGCTCCGCCGGACGGCATTTTGAGGAGGCACTGGAAACGGAAAAGAATTTCTTTTTCGCCGCCCTCACCGCCACAGCATAGGCCCGATAATGGGCTCTCAAGTGTGTTCAGTCAGATTCATTCCGTGATTTCCTCCACCTACGCTCTAGCCGTCTCCCAGTCTGCTTCATCGCCCGCAATTCAGGTGTACACCAAGGGGAAGAGTGGGCTCTGCCCAACGGGAGAGGACGCTTAGGAGCGATCGTGTCCACAGCCCTGGTCATCTCCCTGTTCCACAGTTCAACCAGAGCCTCGACAGGAGCACCAGTCTTGTTAGCCGGAAACTCCCCAGGGCCTTCAGGAATCTATTCGGATCCATCCGGCTCCGGGGGTAGACCCACACAATTGGGTCCGCTCCTTTACAGAGGGAGAGGCCGCTCTCGAGCACAAACCTCACCAGGAAGTGATCTGACCATGACAGGGGTGTCAGACATAAATTCTTCACCCTCAGACCACCCTCTTCCTGCCCCGTCGAGAAAACCAGGTCCAGAGTGTGTCCACATTCATGGGTCAGGCCGGTGACATGTTGAGACAGCCCCATGGCAGTCATGGAGGCCATGAAGTCCTGAGCCACCCCGGTCAGAACAGTCTCGGCATGGAGATTGAAGTCCCCCAGGACCAACATCCTGGGGGTCCTCAACACCAGGTCCAAGACGATCTCCGTCAGCTCAGGCAGGGAGACTGTTGGGCAGAAGGGTGCACGGTACACCAACAGAATCCCCAATCTGTCTCGGTCGCCCAACACCAAGTAGAGGCACTCCAGCCCTGGCCTCGAAGGGACCAGGAGTCCCGTGAGGGAGATGGAGGCTCGGTAAACCAAAGCGACCCCCCTCCCCTCCCCTCCAGGCGTGAACGGTGCTGAACCAGATACCCAGCCGGGCACATTTGAGAGAAGGCGACATCCCCCGCCCTCCCGCCCAGGTCTCCCTTATGCAAGCCAGGTCGGCCCCCTCATCCACAATCAAGTCATGGATGAGGGAAGATTTATTGTGGACCGACCTGGCATTGAGCAGCAGCACCGTCATGCCCGAGGGGCGGTTGACAAGACTACCTGGAACCCTCTGGCTGGGGGCAAAACCAGAAGGAGGGACAGGTGTCAGCCATCTGTCCCTCCTTCTTCTACGCGGACATGTTAAGCCCCCACCGCTGTAACGTCCATTGCCCATGGCCACCCCAATGGCGGTGCCCCCGCACTCCCCAGGAAACACAAACATCGACATGGCCAGGGACGACTCCATAAAAACAAGTTAAAATACAATAAAACTTTAAAAACAATCAAAAACTCCCCATTTCCCCCCCCCCCAGTACAAAATTAAACTTCCCCCCACCAACCTAGTCCCCCGCCAGCCCAGCCCTGCACGGCCACGAACGGCCACAAACGGCAGCACCGCCCTTTGGCCGCTGGCCCCAGGCCGCGTCCGGCGGGTTAAGCTGGCGCCCGCCCACGCACCCCGCCCCAATCAGGCATTGCTTTCGCCGGCGCTGGCAGGGGGGGGGGAGCAGCGAGGGGCGCGGAAATCCATCCGGCGGCAAGATGGCAGCGCCCTCCTCCGTGCCGTCAGCGGCGGGCCTGGCATGGCCCTGGCGTCCTCCGTGCCCGGGGTGGCCCAGCGATGGTCGCAGGAGCGGCGTCAGCTGGCCCCCGGCTCGGCGGTGCGCCCCAGTCCGGCGGCAGCGACAGCGGCGACGGCGCAGCGCGGCAGGTGGTCCGAGTCGCGGAGCGCGGCAGATGTTTGGGGGGGGAGGGAGCTCCAAGCCCACCCAGCCCCAGGCCACGTCCCCAGCCCCAGGCCATGACTGTTCTGCACCCCCTGAATATCTTCAGTCCTTACTGGGTTGCTGTGGGAATTATTCCCCTACCAAATTTGACATGTCATGAGCAGAGCCAGCTGGAGCCAGGGGTCAGACTAGATGGTCCAGGTGGTCCCTTCTGACTTGCTCTGTTTCTATGTTTCTAAATTCTTCCTTGGTGTTCGCTGCTGATACGTCTCTCTTGTGTGTGGACGTACAATTTGACTACATAAACAACGACATTCCTCGTTGAAAATTGGAATTTATGTAATGATGTTCTCTTTGATTGGTTCTTGTCTTAGTTGTGCTTGGAGCAGAAACCTGAGCAGAGTCAGTGCACCGGAAAGATATTGTAGAGTTTGACAAAGTTCAGAAAAAGACAACTAAATAATGACCAACAGGCTGGACTAATTCCCCTTTGAGGAAAGGTTACAACGTCTGGGATAGTTTAGCTTAGAAAAAAGGAGAGTATACATTTTTCTCCCTCTCTTATAACATCAGACCCCAAAGGGGTCATCTTCTCATGATGATGAATATTGGTAGATTCTGGACAGATAAAAGGATTTTGTTGTCAGCTATGGAATTCACTTGCACAAATATAATGAGGACCATCAATTTGGAGAGCTTTAAAAGGGGATTGTCCCAATTCATAGAAAACAAGGTTACACATCCTGATGGCTATAGGTTGCCACCAGTATCATAAGCATTGCACCTTTATATACTAGTTGCTGGGGAACATGGGTAGAAGAGTGCTGATACATTCACATCCCGCTTGTGAGACTCTGTGGGCAGCTGGTCAGCCAGAACTGAATCCTGAACTAGATGGACCCTTGGTCCAGTCCAGCATGGCTCTTAAGTTCTTAGCCATTGAAATCAATGGGACCAGTTAGTCATGATTATCTACAATCTAACTCAGGGGTAGGTCATTTGCAGTCCACAAATCCCATCAGCCCTAACAAGTATAGCAAATGGGGATGGATGATGTGATTATAGGCCAGGCCATCTGGAGGGCCACAAGTTGCCCATTCCCGGTCTAATTAATTTCCTTGTAAGCATGATTAAACTTGGATCCAGTCCTTTTTATCCAGAATGTCAAGATATCCTGGACTGAACTCTCCTCCTTAAATCTGCTCTGATTAGCCCTCTTGAGCAAATAAAAGCTCCAGTGTTACAAAAAGGGCAAAAAATAAACAATCCCCTTCCCTCACGATCCACGATTTCAGGGCTGACTCCATGGCTCCCAGGGCCTTTGGGCAAGACACCTTCCGTGGACTCCCAGCTTCCATGAGTCGGCTGGCCTTCTCACTGCTGTGGTCTCCATCTGCTTGTGCCACTCTTACTTCTCATCATCCTTTCTCCCGCCTGCTCTTGCTTGCATGGCAGGCTGAGAGCCAGGGAGCATAGATCCCGGGGTGTCTCGCCACCATATTGTCTGACCAGAGGGAGAGGCAGCTGAAGGAACAGGGTGCAAGCCCAGTGGGCTTTTGCCAGGCCTCGGAGGACTATCCCAGCTCCTCTCCCTGCTGGTCACCTTTCCACACACATGAACCAGCCTTATAAACCAGAGCATGTGTGTGGAAGGTCCCCATTTTTTCCACCTGCTAGAAACTAGGTGGTTGCCATGCAAGCTGGCAGTGGGCCCCTGAGGCCTACAACCCACACTAGCTGAGGGAGGCGTGCTTGGCAGGCCGTGTTTTGGCCTGGTGGGTCACAACATTGATCATATTTTTGTCCTGAAAGGAGGTATAGAAATAATGGAACAAAAAAAAAAAAGATATTTCCCATTTGTGTGGTGAGCCTCCTTATCAGAGGGAGATGGGGACCTAAGAAACAGGCCTGCACAGACCATTTCTCTGACTGGAAGTCTCTAAGTCGGCTTTCCCTGACTTGGTGCCCTTCAGTTGATTTGGACTTCAAATTCTATCAGCCCCAGCCATCACAACCAATAGGCAGGAATGCTAGGAGTTATAATGGTTATTGTATTGCAATTATACCCTGCCATTTTCCCTCTTGTGATGAACTGAAGGCAGCTTTCATAGTCCTATTTTATCCCCACAGCAACCCTGTGAGGTAAGTCAGGTTGAGAGTCAGTGACAAAGTCACTCAGTCAGCTTCATGAAGACTAGAATAAGGATGTCTGCGCCCAGTACAACACTCTGAGGTTACACGGCTAGGAAGTCTGTGCTAAAGTCTTAGGGATTTTTTCCCAGACACGCTGCAAGGGCAAACTTAAGATATTTTGCTAACTGATTTATTACATTGTGTCATGGCTTCTCTTCAAGTGCACAGTACTGGAGGCCAAACAAATTATTTTGGTACCTGTGGCAGAAAAATCTCTCAAATTCCTCTCCCTGCTCCGTGGTAGTGAAAATACAATAGTTATATACTCGGCACACTCTCTGTATCTCTCAGGCCAGAGCTGTTTAACATAGATTAAACATTTAGCTATTTGAGCATTGCAACATCGAACTGTCTGGAGCATGACACTCAAAACCATCTGCCTAAGATGGCGGCCTTGTTCCGCCTAATGGTGGGGCAGTCCTCTCCAGCAGTCTGCGTGCGAAACAGAGTGATCTGCTACTGGGGTGGGGAGTATGCGTTTTCAAGGGAGTGCTGGGCAGAATTGGGGCCAGCAAAAATGATGGTTGGGCAGCTGCCAAGGGCCTGCACCGCAGCAAAGGGGTGCTGCCAAGAGCCCCTGGGCTTGCTCCACTGCCTCTTGCCTTGCACCTGGCTTCTTCTCTGGCCTCTTGCTCCGGCCCAGACAATGGCGGTGGTGGTGAGGAGATGCAGCTCTTGCCATGGTCTGGCTGCTCAGCAGAATAAGCAAGTGGGAGCAAGAGGAGGTGGTAAGGAGGTGGATGGAGGGAAGGGGGGCCTTTGAGGATGGCCTGCTGCAGGGCCTCCAAGAACCTGGAGCCAGCCCTGCCCAGAAGCCCAGGGAGCTGCTTACACCGAGCGAGGGCCATGGTTCAGTGTTTTGATAGCAAATGGCAGCAGCACTTCAGGGTTTTGGACAGAAACTTTTCCAGCCCCACCTAGAGATGCTGGGAACCAAACCCAGGACTGCGTTATGGCCTGTTCCCCACTGCTGTGACGGCAAAGGGACAATTTGTGCTAATGGAAAGTTCAGACAGCAAGTTTTTTGTTAATGTCTGGAAACAAAATAAGTCTTTTGTTTTCTCTCTACCATTTCTTTTTCCTAATCCAAGATTGCAAAATCCTGGGGAATTTGACTTTAGAATCAGGAATGGCTTGGTGGTAGTTGTAGGTTTAACCATACGTTATCTCTGTTTTTTCTCACTTCACAGGTTGCTCATGGTGGCCCCCAGTGTGGTGACGGTGGGGACCGAGGTGGGGGTTGTACTTCAAGTTGAGGGAGCCCCATCTGGGCTCTTTGGCACAGTTTTTTTCCAGAATGAGAATACCAGGATTAAATGCTCTCAGGAGGTGCCATTCAATCTTCAGTGCAGTGAGTGCATAGAAAAAGTAACCTTGAAGGTACGTGTGACAATGGGTCTTTGTATTTCCACCCCTGTGAGGAAGGACCCGGCTGCATCACAGGCTTAGTTGACTCTTCAGGATGATTCCACTGCCATCCATGTTAGCAGCCTTTAGTTTGAACACACAGACAATTCAGACTTACAATATGCACTCATGGAGGGGCAAAACCCTTTACAGGGTCTGTTTTAAAGAACCTTGTTCAGTTGCAGTTGTGTCCAACACTTTGCGACCCCATGGACAACATTCTTCCAGGTTCTCCACCATCCCCCGGAGTCCACCAAGGCCCACACACATCTCACCACTGATCCTGTCCAGCCACCTCAGGCTCTGCCATCCCCTTCTCCTTTTGCCTTCAATCGTTCCCAGCATCTTTTACAATGAGCCCTTCCTTCTCATTAGGTGACCAAAGAATTTGAGCTTCAGCTTCAGTATCTGTTCTTCTAAAGAGCAGTCATAACCTTAGGTCTGGGGGTCAAATCTGGCCTTGCAGAGCTCTCCAGATGGGCACATCCCCCTTCTCCTGATCACTGGTTCATCTGAAAGCTTCCAGTGCCTCTCCTAAGCTGCATTTCCTGGTAGATGGAGCTCTAAGGAAAAATATGGTAGCATGTTGACCCCACAGTTTTGCCTTCCTTCTACCCACCTCCAGAAGCTTATCCAGAATGGAATTTGGCCAGATTGAAAGATGTTCTGTATCCCTGTTCTAAACATCTTGAAAACTAGGTCAGAAGGATTGGCAGCCCAGTGAGAGAGTGTGACTGATCTCAGGCAGCGCCAAAGAACTAAATCAGCTCCAGAGTCCAGCTGGGTGTGTGTATCTAAGATCAGTAAATCTGTTCATCTTTAAGATGTAACACAACTCTGTCTTGCTTTTCTTCTGAATGAGACAGAATGTTCCAGAGAGGAGTTGAGGGAGGTTGAGGCAACCTCTATTCCTGGCCAACCAAGCCCAAATTGTGCATTTATTTATTTATTAGACTTCTATCCCACCCTTTTCCTTTTTTTAAAGAACTCAAAAATAGCCCACATAATTGTCCTCCTCCTGCTCTCAGTCATTTCCCCACAACAACAGCCCTGTGAGGTTGGTTGGGCTGAGCATCTATTTCTGGCCCAAAGTCACCCAGTTGGCTCCATGGCTGAGTGGGAACTAGAACCCAGATCCCCTGAGTCCCAGTCCCATGTTCTTAACCCCTATGCTACACTGGCTCTCAGAGTGGATTGGGTGCCTGCACAGAGCTTGGTTGTACACACCAAGTCCTCCCTTTTGACTTCCAGATTTAGGGCAATCTGTGGTTTGAGGGAATATCTGAAGTTTGCCTGCAACCATGCTTCAAAGCAAAGGCCTTAACTGAAAGACTAATAAAAGTGCTGTCTTGACAGGAGAGACTCCAGGGTTGCTCTTACAAATTGGTCTGAAATAATCTGCTGATGTTTGTGAGACATAGAAAAGCAGACTCATGGCCAATTAGGTGCTGACAGGCAGAAATTAGCTTTATAAGAACAGCAATGCAGAACTCGAAGTGGGAACTTGATGGGGAAAAGGGGATGTGCACAGCATATGGAGAAGAAGGTGGGGGGCCTGAAAAAGGGGAACACTGATGGGAGGCAGTCTGAAGTTCCAGTAATAAAAATTAAAATTGGCATAACCACTTTTCTTCTGTTCTATAGAGAGGCTTCCGCTTTTCACGTAGATGCTGAAAAGGGTATTTATACAGCTGTCAGTCATCCTACTTCACATGTTAATAGACAAAAAATTATCAAGGTTAAAAAGATAACAATTAGCAAGGGTACAGCTAGGTAGAGATTGGATTTATTGGTTATAGGGCACAATCCTATGCACATTTAGACAGAAAAAAAAAATCCAGCTCCCAGTATGGCCATACACTTTACTGAAATTGTAAAACGAACAATGAAAATTTCTCTCCTCTCCCCTACCATTGTCATTGTTTGCTTTCCAACTACTTCTATTGTTCGGATATGTTAGAACAAAAACAAAACAAAACAAAACATCCACTTACCAATCCTGATGAAAAAAGAAGCTTTTGCACTTTGAGCTCACTTAAATCACAGTACTATCTCGAGTAAAATGGAATTTGCTTCTGCAACCCTGATGCTCAACACAAATTTCTTAGGAATAAGCCCCATTTTCTTTTATCGGTGCATGTGCATGCATACACACACAAAGGCAATATGTTTTTGAAGCCAAAACAAGAACAATTAGCATTTGTGCACATGCCTGACTTTCTGCCCATTGATTACAAAGCATTTTTAAATATAGGAAAAAAGGATGCTATGGCAGGAAGTGGCTGTGCGTACTCAGCCCAGACTTCTTGCTACTGTCCCATCCCTTGCTGCTCTCTGGGTCCTTCTTTATGGGGGAGGGGAGGTAAGGCCCCAAGCCCAGCTCTAGCTGCATCGCTATTGATGCTCCTGCTGCTACTGATTTCCTGTGTACTGTATTTGCCTTTCCTCCCAAGAAGTCAGGATGGCACATAAGGAAATTGCCCTTTTTCCTCCTGTCAACACCAGTATGAGATCAGTTAGGCTGAGTGAAACAGAATTGTCCAAGAAACTTGGTAGCTGAGCCAGGATCCAAATTCAGCTGTCTTCAGCCCAAGGCTCTGCTCTTCTACCAGGGGAGGCAGACATCAGACTTACAGTATCTACTTTCTTTTTTTATTAGGACCTGCAATTTTAAAAAACCATTTATTTATTTAAAGTTTTCATATGCTGTCCAATACCACAGTCTTTGAATGGCTTACCAAAAAAACAACAACAACAACAACAACCCTGGCTTACAAAAAACTTAGCAACATACCAACAAACAACACACTGCATTAGCTGTAAAATCAAAGATAGAACCAGTTAAATATTAAAATGTCAGGAAAATAAAAAGGATTTTGCCCAACACTAAAAAGAATAAAGTGTCTAGCATCCTTCCTTTTGTTTTGTTTCCGTTTTTATGTCACCAGAATGCTCGGTTTTGCTTTTTTACTAGAATTCTGTAAGTGAAGCCAAATGCAGAAGACTTAAGGTTAGGATTAAAGAATTCTGAACCCAGAGTTTTGTTTTGAGTTCCAGAACTGAGTGGAGCTCATAGTACTTCTGCATAAAAATCCAAGTTCTCCCAAGCTTGGTTCTCCCAAGCTCTTTCCATCTCAGTAAAATACTAATTTAGGGTGGGAAGGGAGTCAGTGTCTTGCTACTGTTGCTAAACAATAAGGAGCCAGAAATCCTTGCTGATTTACTGCACTTCACTAGAGATCTACTGGCAGGTCCGAAACAACCACTGCACTATACTGTATTCACTAGTGTGGTGCAGCCCAAGAACATAGCACTGGAATGTTTCTACTAGCAGAGACATGGATCTGAATTGCCACTCCAGCCACCCCAGGATTCTCTGTTCCTTCCAAGCTTAGCTGAAATCCTCACATTAACTGATTGATTTTTCTTAGCAAGAATGTATTCTTCCCTGTTATAATACGGAGAGGCTTGGTTTGGTTTGGAATGGCCAATTAAGATCCGGCCACTTTACAAAAGCCCAGGTCCTCGTGAAGAGGAAAACTGCCAGAATTGTTTTGTTGAGATGAATCAACACAGCAGCCTGAATTGTTGGACTCTTCTTTGCGGGACAGGGAAGTGTGTATGGCAAAAGCCATGATGAGCAGTTGCAATTTGCAGTGTAGCATTTCATCCCCGACCGCACTGTTTGGCTCTTCTAAGGTGGCCCTCACCGTGGAAGCTCCATGCTTTGGAAAACAAACATTTTGAAATGTTGACACTGAATTATTAATCTGAACTACAGTGCTGCTGCTGCTGCTTTTACTCACCTCATTTTCATTTCATATAACCAGGGTCTGGGAGAGTGATGTAAGGATGGTGCTTGGCTCTTTTGGGGAATTATCAGAAGACAAGGTGCTAAAATCATTCCTGCTGTGCCATACCATTTCAGACTGCGAATGGGAAGTTTGCACCACTGAATTCGCTTCTGTAACAAAAAAGGACGATTCTTCTAACCCGGACTTTTCCCATAAATTGTGCCATCCAGGAACATTTCCTGGTGAGAAAGCATTCAGTCATGCAAATGCCATCCAGCAGGGGTCAGTGCAGGACGTCAGATCGCTTAGTTTGCTGTTTGCAAGGGTGGCCTTTTCCTCCGGAGGTCTTGGCCGACCTTCAATGTCTCCGCTTTCTCGCTGTTGCAGGTGACTCATGCTCTCTTCGCCCAGTGTGGTCTGAGTGGCCAGCGAAGGGACCGCTACATCCAGCTTGTTGCCCACAGTGCCCAGCTCCCCAGCCCCAATGGCATTCAGACCCTCAACCTGCGCTGGAGTTCCCGGCGCGGGTACCTCTTTGTGCAGACAGACAAGCCGATCTACACTCCTCGGCAAAAGGGTGAGTCCATCTTTAGCCTCCTTCCTAGTCCAATTGTATTGTCCTGTTTATTTGAATGGACGCTTTCCTTCATCCTGCCTGTCTATATTACCTATAAAAAGAAAAATGGGTGTGGGTCTGGATGTCATTACAATGGTGCTAAGGGCATAAAACATAGACACCTGGAACTTGCCATGCATACTGAAAGGGCTCTCGGGGCATGTTTGTTTATTAGATTTATATCCTGCTTTTTTCTTATGAACTCAAAGTGGCTCACATAATTCTCCTTCTCCTGCGCTCAGTCTATCCCAAAACAACAACCCTGTGAGGTAGGCTGGGCTGGGAGTCTGTGACTGGCCCAAAGACACCCAGTTGGCTCCATGGCTGAGCAGGGACTAGAACTCAGGTTGCCTGAGTCCCAGTCCTGTACTCTTAACCACTGCACCACACTGGCTCTCAGGTACATAGGCATGTATTATAGTTATTTCCCTCCTTTTTCCCTCCTAGGAATTCAGGGTGGTTTCCATAAGTCTTTTGTTACTTAGGGTGGCCCAAGAAGACAATCTGGTGATAGGCATTGGTGACTTATCTTTTTTCCTCCTCCCAACCAACTGGACAAGGGTATGTGCGAGGAGCCACAGTTTAGTCTGTGCAGGAACTAGCTCTGAAAGAACGTGGAGAGCTGACTTAGCTCTCTGTAGGAAATCCTGTGGTCCTGCAGATTTCCTCTAAAAGTCAGCTGGAAAACAAATCTGTTGGGGTGCTAACTCAGTGCTTCCACATCCTATGACTCAGTGGCAGAGCTCCTGCTTTGCATGCTGAAGGCCCAAGAATCTGCTCACGGCAATTTCAGATGGCTCTCGAAAATAATCCTACCGAATCCTTGAAGAGCAGCTGCCAGGCTGTGCTGACTAAAGTGGGCAAAATGGACCAAGGGTCTGACGTGGAATAAAGCAACTTCTGTGTTTCTATTGTCAGCCTGTATATATGCAGCAATGACGTTTGTGTCACAGACACACTGTATGTCTCCAATAACTTCCTTCTAAGGCAGTTGGTAATCCTGAAATATCTCACTGCTTGGAAATGTGGTCTTTAACAGTATGTCCTTTTCTCCTCCACTGTTAAAAGTGTCTGCCTTAGCAGATTCTTGCTTGCTTATTTATTTGTTTGTTGTGTTGAAGAAACAATAGAATGGTTCTTAGGAAATTAACCTTAATGTTGAAGATCCAGTTGAATGATTCCTTTATGAAGAAAGGTTACAACATTTGGGACTGTTTAACTGAGAAAAAAGTCAAGTAGGACGGAGATATGTTAGAGGTGTACAAATTTATACATGGTGTGAAGAAAGTGTTTATTCCTCTCTCCTAATATTAGAATCCCTTGATTGGTGGGAGGTTCAAGACAGATTGAAGGAAGGACTTCTTCACACAGTGCATGTGGAACTCACTTCCATGAGACATTCTGATAGCTGCCAGTTTGGACAGATTTAAAAGGGGATTGGACAAATTCATGAAGGAGAAGGCTATTAATGTCTCTGCCCCCAGTTTCAGAGGCAGTGCACCCATACACACTATTTATTTTATTTTATTTTATTTTATTTATTAAAACATTTCTATGCTGCCCCATTCGCCGAAGCCTCGGGGCGGCTCACAACATTAAACGCTAGTTCCTGTTGCGCTCACGTCCTGCTTGTGGGTTTCCCATGGGCAGGGGACTGGCCACTGCATGAACAGAATACTGGATTAGTTGGGCCCTTGAGCATGGCCGTTCGTAGTTTGAGGCTATAATGATACACAGAGAATCTCTCTCTCTCTCCCCCCGCCCCGCTTCCATCACGCACACACACATTCACATGCAACCCAGGAGCCCTTGGTTTTTATTCCCATGCTCACATTTGGTTTGTTAATTCTAGTGAATTTCCGAGTCTTTGTCCTGGATCACAAATTGCGGCCAACCGCTGAATCAGTCCTCATCAATATTCAGGTAATGAGACTCTTGCTCAGGTTCAGAAAAAGGAAGCTCTGGTTGGGGCGTGGAGGTGGGAAAATTTGCTTATGTGAACCTCAGTGCTTTTTTAAAACCTCACCACCTGTTTGTCTTTCTGACTTTTGGTTTGTATCAGAACCCCCGGGGTCTTCAGGTCCGGAAAGCTGAGTTGATGCCAATGAATTTTGTGATAAATAGCCACCTAAAAATCCCCGATATCTCTGAGTAAGTCTGACCAGCACCATAATCAGGTCCAATCTGTCAGAGCAGGTAATGTACAGCAGCCCTCAGTATTCTGGTGCCTGCAGATGGGAAGCACCACAGCATTCATTGCTCTGGCTAGGTGAGGCTTGTATAAGCAAATGCCTAAGAAGGCAACATTCCAGGGGCTCTGCATGAATGCTACTAATATTTTTTCATTCTGTACAAACAAATGGATCCATAGTCTCTCCTCGTTGTACCATATAGCAAAAGGGAACTTAAAGAACTGGAAGGCTGTTTTGCAGGAGCTGGTTCCAAAACCGCCTCTTCCCTCTCTCAAGGCAACATCCTAACAACCCAAACATCCCTAACCACCCAAACAAACATCAGGCTGAGATAGGGAGGTTAGAAACAGAGCATGTTCAGAAGGGGCCTCCTGGGCTGTCTAGTCTGACCCCCAGCTCCAGCCGGCTCCGCTCATGACAGACCTACCATGTGCATGTCCAGCTGTCCTTGAACACCCGCACCGATGGGGCTTCAACCACCTCCCATTGAAGCTCATTCCATACCTTTGGGGTCCTAACTGTCAGGAAGTACTTCCAGGCATCCGCCTTGAATCTTGGTTTCCTGAGGTTCTTTTTATTTTTATCCGGGAAGAACCTCCAATGCCGTTAGCAGCTGCAAGGCGCACATGGTGGGGCTGGAAGGTGCAACAGTGGATGTTGGAGCTTTGCACTTCGCTCCTGGCCCAGGAACTCTGACCAAGAGAAAAAAGAAAAGAGTGCTGACACCAAATATAAAGAATGTAATTGGTTTGACCCCTGAGAGCGCCAAAGTTTTCCAAATTTTTGGAAGCTCAGTCTGAGATTTCAGTCATTGCTTCACATTTTTCGGGGGTTAAACTATAGGATTGATTGTAACTTTAAGGCACGGTTGCCAGTTTTTTGGAAAAAACGTTCTGGCCTGATCCTGTGTTTCTGCTAATCGCTTAATATGCAAAAGTTAACCTTGGAAATGCTTGAAAATTGTTGATGCCTGCAGTTGCTGTTAAAGGCAGAAAAAGCAGGGGCTGTTTGGCAAGTTAGCAGCTCTAATGTCAGACTAAAACCAGGAAGCAAAGGCCTACCCTAGGATAGTCAAAGGCTTGCATCCATCCACTAGAACTCTTTGCTTCTGTTTTTCTTTGATCAGTAGACCTCTATGGAGCATGGCCACAAACCGCCCTTGAAAGTCTCCTGAGGTCCAGATGTGCTTGCCATGGAACAGCCTTCAGCTCGCAGCAGCCTCAGCTAGTTGGGAGCTTTGGTCCAGCACATCTGGCGGGCACCATGTTAGGGAAGACTGCTGTACATCACAGGGTGAGGAGAGCCTCTTGAGGGAGCACAATTTCAGACATGCAAACATCACTGAGTTTGTCCTGCCCTTTTGTCTTACTGCTTCCCTCACAGGCCTGGCATTTGGCGCATCACAGCCCAGTTTGTCAACTCACTGGACTCCAACACAACAACAGAGTTTGAGGTGAAAAAATATGGTATGTTTCTGGAATGATAGCACATTTTCTTGCTTGGATAGATGCTCAGAGTTTCTAAGAGCTGTGTGGCAGGTTGCAATTCAAGAAAGTGCAAACGTTGACTGCATCCTGGAATTGCAGTTAATTTTTTAATTAAAACAAGGCGTTTCCTGAGAAAGCAATTGATTCAAAACAAACAGCTCTGAGTATTGCTGAATAGATAGTAATGGCCTGGTTTAGCATGATGCAGCTTCACAAAGCTAGCTCCAGGGGGTGGTGAGGCTGGGCATATGTCAGGGCCTCAAGTGTAGCCACATCACTTTTCATCACAAAGCCACCAGAAGGGGATAAGTGCCATCTCACCTGGCTGCAGCAGAAGGAAAGGAGAGCGAGTGAGGCCCACCCAGGTGACAGACATGAGAGACATGTCCCCCCATCGCAGCATCTCCACCATGCTTCCCATTAAATATCCCTGACACGGAGATGAATCAAGCCAGCTTGAGCAGATCATGTTCCCCATGCCTGGGGCTATCACAGATGAGACCCTGCTCCCAGCTGCAGCACGCAATGATCCTTTTCTGCCCTGCCTGGGATTCCCTAGAGTTTCCCAGAAGCTCTTTAGTGGCTGCACAAAGTGTTTCTATGGGAATAATAAGGGAAACCGTACCTGTCAAGCTCCCCCTTGTCTGCAACTTTCATTTAGTGCTCCCCCATTTTGACGTGACGATTGTTCCAGCACGGAAATATATTTTGGTCTCTGAACAGCAGGACTCTGACTTGGAAATTGGCATTCGGGCTAAGTAAGTTGTATTCAGGCTGCTCTTTATGATAACGTTAATGAATTAAAATGTTTTGCATCCCATCTTGCAAGTACTTACTGCAAAATGAAACAATGAATGCCTTCCCCAACCCCGTGTCATCTACACAGGGCTGTAGAGCTAGACCTTACCCCATTCCTAGCAAGCAAAGCCACTGCTCTCTGGGGGATGCTGGGAGGTGTAATGGTTGGAGGGCGTCCAAGTAGGAAAGGGGCATATACAGAAACCAATAATGCAGGTGAGTTAAAATCCACCATTTATTCAGGGTGAGCCCCCCACCCTCGGCACCTGGCCCCAAAAAGGGGAGATTTGTGGTGATAGCTGCCTAAAATGAACCAGCTCAAGCCTGCCCTCCCCCCTCAATTGTTGCGGGTACTTCTGGCTCATGGACGGTGTCGTCCTGGGGAGGAGAGTCTCCTGTATCCATGGATGCTCTCCACATGGCTGAAAGCACAGGCCACATGCCCTTTGGTCTAAGCAAAGGGATTTGCACCTTTAGCACATGGATCCATTTCATATTGGATGGATCCGTTTCATATTTGCACCTTTAGCACATGAATCCACATGGATCCACACTGGAGAGCCAGTGTGGTGTAGTGGTTAAGAGCATGGGACTGGGACTCAGAGGATCTGGGTTCTAGTCCCCGCTCAGCCATGGAGCCAACTGGGCCAGTCACAGACTCTCAGCCCAACCTACCTCACAGGGTTGTTGTTGTGGGGATAAGATGGAGGAGGAGAATGATGCAAGCTGCCTTGAGCCCTTTGTAGGAAAAAGGCAGGATATAAATCGCAATATAAAATAAATAAATAAATAAATAAAATGTTCTACAGCGGTACTCACCCTGGAGAGGCAGAATCACTGAGCAGGCTAGAAGCTGAGGTGCTCCTGAGGGTGATTCCATACTTTTAAACATAACAGTGGCAGTGGGGAGACATGGGGTTTTTTTAAACCAAGTTTTGTCTTGTAGTTTTAAACTTTTAATCTTTTGGAGACAGCTCTGAGAGAGCTTTAATCTGGGCCAGATAAAAACGTTGCTGTCGTTGCTGTTGTAAGAAACTCCTCCTCAGCTAACCCTTTGTCTTCTGCCTGGCTTCCACTCCCTCTTCAACAGATTTTTCTACGGGAAGGGGGTCACTGCCATGGCTTACGTGCGTTTTGGCGTCACTGATGAGAACGGGGAAAAAATCTATATTTCAGGACTGGAGCAACAAGTCTCGGTAAAAGAACTCAGGCTTTCATTGTTTTCCGTTGTTTTTAACGTTTTCTTGTTCATCATAAAGGCTTTATTTGTAAGCTATGGGCCACATGGGAGCGCATAAATTTTAAGGGAGCAGTGCTGCCCATTGTGTCCTTGATGCTGTTTAGCCCCCACATGTGAAGGCTTGTAAACCTTGCAAATCATAAGGCTTGTATCCAGTGCAGCACGGCAGAAGTGGTGGAATTATCTTCACCTTGCCCCACACCTCTTGCTTAAGCAATGGCCCATAGCTGCTTGCAAAATGGCACTTTCTGCCCCTTGGGGTCAGTCTGGGATGGCTGAGTGGCCACTTCAGGCCACTCCAAGCCAACCATAACACATGGCAGTTCTAATCTGCTCCCCTTCCTGCCCCTTGAAACACCTGCTTTACCCCCTCCCTGTGGGTAAACTTAGAGAGGCCGCCAGCATAGTTGTGCCAGCTGCTTAGGGGGTATACAGGAGGTGTGGGATGTGGATTCCCAGCCCCAAGATCAGAGTGCTGTCTCTGGCCTCAGATCTGAGACTCCAGATTGTCCTGTGCTTCCTGCTGTGAGGTCTACAGGCCATAGGATTGCTCTCTAAATAAATCAAACAAAACCTCAGCAGGAGAACTTAAAAGGCTCTAGCAGCTGCAGAAATGTGGGTAGGGACTGTATGAATATGGTGGGCAGGGAATAGGGAACCATATGGGAGGTGGATAAAATGGGGTATTATGGAGGAGGCTTGGCTGGCTGGCTTGAGCCAGGAACAGGAGTTGGCACCATGTGTTCCAGATCCCGCTTGTCCCTTTTGGTATTCTGTTTTGTCCAGCTTCTCTCTTAATTAGTGACTTGCCAAATCAGGCCCGAACAAAGAAATAGCCAGCTGCTGCCAGCACCCGTTCCCACAGCCGACCCAACCATTAAACAGAGCAAGGTAGCTGCTTCAGGCAGCAGGTCTGGCTGCCCTGCACAGCAGCAAAATGCAGAGCGTTTATACTTGTTGCTGTTGTGTTTTTGCTGCCAGGGATGGGAAGAGGTGCTTTTGGAAGTTCTGCCTCACATACCAGAAATAACCTAACTGATCTCTGGTGCTGCGTGCCTTGACCCGGTGGGGTGGGGGCCTCCTCGCTGTTCTGCCCCAGGGAGAAAAGTGCCTTGGGCCAGCAGTGCCCTTTCCCATCCTTAGCACCTACACCTGATGGATAGATGAGGGTCCTCTGTTTTGGGGATCTCCCAACACCATACCCACTAGTTCCCCTGCTCTCCTGATTTTTCTTTCTTCAGATTTCTATTTCACTTTATTGTTTTACTTGGGATGTTGGCATTCCACAAAGTGAAGTTCTGCCCTCCAGTGCCACCTCCAAGTTCAAAGGAGTGGCTTTACATTGTGCAGCTTCAATCCTATTTCTGCCTTGTACTTAACGTTCCTGGACTCATTACTTTTCTTCTCACTGTTCGCCTTCTGAGAAATCAGTTTTGTGACTAGCTGTGCCTATCACGGCAGCCGTTTAGTGGAAGGTTGCCCTCCGTAGCAACCATTCCATGAGAGCACAATGCCAGACATTCCCAGTGGCCCAAAAAGGCCTGGGGAAAGCCTGCAGTTGCTTGCCTCTTTTATACCTCCCCCACAACTCTTCTGCCCTCGCTATGGAGCATCACTCCATCCTTCTTTCGAGACCCAGGGGAAATGTGCTTGCAGCCAACCTTAATATTTATCCTGTACCTTACATCTTGACAACACATGACCCATCTGAGGCCTTCCTCTGAATCCCACCTTGTAGGGAGGCTTGGCTAGTGGCATCAAGGAAGGCATCCATTCCAGTGACCATGGATGATCTTTACCCCAAGGCCTGTTGGTGTTGTTAGTCACAAAATTGCATCCACCCCATCACGACCCCATGGACAACACTCCTCCAGGCCTTCCTGTCCTCCACCATCCCCTGGAGTCCACCCAAGCTCACACCAACTGCCTCAGTGACTCCATCCAGCCACCTCATCCTCTGCCATCCCCTTCTTCTTTTCCCATGAATCGTTTCCAGCAGTAGGCTCTTCTCCAGTGAGTCCTTCCTTCCCCCAAGGCCTACCCAGTGCCAATTTTGCTGCCTTCTCAGCACAATGTTAAGACTGCTCTCCATGCTGAGGCATTTAATGGAGTTAGCTAGTATGCAAGAGTAGGGGTTATGTCAGCTTTTTTTTTCTTACTAGCAGATCTAGCTGAATTGAACTTGTCCTAGTTGCTCAAATGGTTTTACATTCTATTTTAAATGTTGCAATGTGATTTATTGCTGTTTTATTGCATTTCTGTGTTGTCTGTTAGTGTTGCTAACCTCCCAGAGCAGCATAGAAATAAATACATATTTTCCTGTACCCCTGCCCTAATTCCATCCTTATCAGGTGACTGAAGGCCTTGGTTCAGTGACCCTAAAGCAAAGCCTTCTTTCCGAGAAATTAGGGCGCCCTCTTCAGGACCTGGTTGGAACAGCGCTCTACATCGCCGTGACAGTCATAGAGAGAGCGAGTAAGTTTGGATCAGGGAACTCCACTTGGAGCATGTCTAACAGTAATGCTTAGCCAAAACTGATCAGATGCCTTTGTGTTTAGCAGTTTAGGCTTGATATTTTTCTTGCTTTTCCTCTCTTTCTTTTTTTCCAGCCCTAATATGATGTGCAGTGTTTTTCAGCTAATATTGTGAAATGCTCAGCTCTGCACTAAAACTCAGGATGCCTAACATGATCGCTCTTGTGAGATTTAAAACTCCTTGAGACAGGATTCGAGTAGGCACAAGCAGTTTATTCCATACAAAAAGCGTTTGCAAAGGCTGGCTCAATGCCTCAGTTGCCTGAGGAACAAAGAGCAATTATTTCAAACATCAATGAGATTATATACATTCCTTTCCCCGATGCTCAAGACTATCCCCGCTTCGCCATTGGCTGGTTACTAAGAAGTCACAATCTTCCTCATCCACCTATATCATACTACTCCTTAATATGTTCCCCCCTCCCGCTCATACATCCCACGTTCATGCTAATGAGCCCATTACCTATGAGAGGTGTGTCATTTACTATTCATAAACTTATTACGCGTGCACTCTATGCCTTTTAAAAGTTCAACAGGCCAAAGTGGCCTTGAAAATTCTTACTTGACGCCAAAATGTTTCTTAAATCTTGTGGGGAGGATGAGATAATGAGAACAGGCCTTTCTCCAGGCTGGTTATCGCCAGTTGTAAAGTAATCCGTTGTCTGCTCTCCTCCACTGAACGTGACAGTTTTACCACTGTCCCCCAATTTTACCCCTCCTGGCATTTTTCAGGACTTTTGATGTAAGAAACAATATTGCTCTTAGAACAACCATTTACATGTTTTGATTCTCAGGCTTTTTGGCCTTAAGAGACTTCAATGATCCTGTCCTATTCCTGTTTTTCACCCTTAACACTTAATAACAGTAACTTTTCATTTCTCACACTCTGAATTACCCTTCTTGCTATGCGGAGCCTGACTGTGGGGCAGATCTGGGCAATGTGGTTTACTTGAGCTTGTTGGAAAAGAAGAGAAGAGAAGAGAAGAGAAGAGAAGAGAAGGAAAATGTATTCTGCTGGATGCTTGCAGTATCTTTATTTATTTAAGTGTTAGATTTATATCTTGCTTTTCCTTACAACAAACTCAAAGTGGTGTACATCATTCTCTTCCTCCTGCTCTCAATCTTATTCCCACAACAACAGCCCTGTGAGGTAGGTTGGACTGAGAGTCTGTGACTGGCTCAAAATCACCCAGTTGGCTCCATGACCAAGCAGGGACTAGAACCCAGATCACCTGAGTCCCAGTCCTGTACTCGTAACCACTACCCCACAGTGGTGCTCTTACTTGAGTATCCCACTCTTTGTATGTTTGTATCCAAGAGAGGAGTCACATCTGTTTCCTTTTCTTCACTGATTGCTCCTTCATTCCTACAGGTGGAGAATTGGAGGAGCAGGAGCTTTCCTCTGTGAAGTTCGTGTCATCTCCATACACCGTGGACCTGTCCAAAACCAAGCGCTATTTTGTGCCTGGTGCCCCCTTTGAAGTGGTGGTACGTCTGCAGCAGCGCACATGTTCTGTCTTATGTTGTGTTGTCTTGTGTTGTGACAAGGGAAGGGCCTTACTCCACTCTTGTTCACTATTTTTTGCTCCCAGGAGGAGTGGGTTGGGTGAAAGCAGCTGAAGTTAGACGTGGGCCTGGTGGGGCTGTTATACACGGTTCTTTATCTTAGACTGTACTTAGACTAGAGAGCCCTTCAAATACAGCCCTGCCCACTGTGAAAGAAGACAGCCAGGCATCTACTTCCTTCCGGGCAATATACATGCATTTGTGGATTGGCTCTTTTGTGAGCCATCCCAAGGCTATATGCAATGGGACATGGGACGGCATACAAAAACGCTACATAAATAAATAAATTTACTCATCCGTTGTATCTGTTCAATGCCTCTTGAAAATATGCCTATTCACAGGGCCCTTTGCTTACCTGAGAGGGGCTCTGTTCCTTTCCTGTTTTATTGTTACAGTATTCTTACATTGTTTTAGATGATCAAGGGCACAGTCCTCTGGTCTTCCAAAGTTGTCTAGGGGCCACTGGATGATGCAGAGTCCCAGTACTGAGGCCCTGTGAGCCTAGAGGTGGAACTTTGAACTGCCCCCCCCACCCCCACCAGCTGTGGAAAGAAACATACCAGCTTCCTCCCTGAGGCTACAAATATAGGCCTCAAAGCGAACAAAAAGAGGCTTGCCAGCAGCAGAGAAGGGAAGAGTCTGGGGCTCTTTGGTCCCTCAGACTCCTTTCCTCCCCATCACTGGTGCTTAATCTTGATGGTGGAGATTGATTTGGTTTGTAACCCACCTTTCTATGAAGAAACATGTTGTATGTTCCTACCAAGACATCTTAATGCAAGCTGCCTTGGGATTTCAATATATTAAGCAGTATGGAAATATAAATAAATAAACAAACAAACAAACAAACAAACAGCAACTTCAATGTGTATATCAGAAGCCATATGTCATAAACTTTTCTGGTTGTTTTTCTTTGTCTTCCAGGTGTCTATTTCACTCCCAGATGGTACACCTGCCAGCCACCTTCCAGTCCACTTCTCAGCTCAGATAACCGGAGCCGCATCTGTTGATGATGTCCAAATGGACAGCGACAAAAAGGGGCTTGCAATGCACAAAATCAACATTTCTCCCAGAGCTACAGCAATCACCATCACGGTATAGGCCCCATGGCCCTGTTAAGAAGTGGGAAAAGGAACAGGAGGAGGGGGGAGAAAAGGCAGTTGGATTAAGGTAGGGGTGCAGAACCTCAGGTCGGGGGTATCCCCAGATGGTCAAGGTCCCTTCTTCTGACTCCATCATGTTTTCTCCAAAAGTTAATCAGTTGCAGGTTTCCTGGCCTTTCTGCAGTTTTTCCACTATTCTAAAAGAATTAAAGGTCCCCTACAGCTTAGTTACTGGCCAAAAAAGAAAAAAAAGTGAAACTGCTGGTATTTTTGGCCTCACACATCATTGGAATGTGTCCAGCAAAAGCATCTCTCAGATGGATTTTGGTCCTCAAGCTGAAAGAGGTTCTGCACTCCTGGACTAAGGAAGGGGGCATTGGCCCTGGAAACAGGGAGGTTCTTTGGATTTAAAAAATCTGCTCATGGACAATCTTCTCTGCTGCTTCTCCTTCAAGCAATTCAAATCTCACATCAGCTTTCAGTTCTTTCTCGTGGTTTTTGCGCATCACCCATAAGGGCTTCTGTGCCTGCGCAAGGCCTAGACCAGAAAAAAATTTCAAGAGCAGCAGGAATTTCCAGCCACAGGAAGTGATGGAGGCTGGTGGCTTCTGGGTCTCAGGGAGGATTAGACAATCCCCATGGAGGTGGAAGAGGCTATCGAAAAGACATGTTCAAATATGTAACATAGATGATGGGGCAGATTTGTTTTTTGTTGCACCAAAAGAAGGGCTTAAGCATTGGCTGTAAGCTGCAAAGAAATTTTTTTGTTTGTTAGCTCCTTTATTCAAAGCATTTTCATTCTACTTTTCAGACAATACTCCCAGACTAGCTCACCAGGATCAGAAACAGGACTGGCAGTAGAGATTCTTTGACCCATCCTATTCACAAAACAACATTTCCCGGGATTTTCTGTTCAAAGGCCAGGCTAAATCTTGTTTCAGTGCTGTGTGTGTGAGCCTGCTCCCCCCTCCCCCCACCCTCTTCTCTGCAAGGAGAGGGTGGCAAGCATTTTGCTTCCATTTTCAGCCAATTGCAACTTGCTGTTTCGTGCAAACTGGTCAGTTTTTAATTGTGGCTTTACCTGATCAAGCCAAGATCAGAAACATAGTTTGAAAACCATGGTAGTTTTTTAAACAGGCATGGGAAATGTGTGCTGTCCAGTTCTTGGCAGACTGCATTCCCATCAGCCCTGGCCAGCATAGCCATGGTGAGGGCTGATGGGAAATGCAGTCCAACAACTCAAGGGAGTTTCACACATCCTGCATCTTTGCTTTAAAGCTGTCAAGGTTGATACCAGCACTTTTCTTATTTCAGCCTGGTAACACATTGGTAGCCGGTGGAATGGATGCAGAACTAATGTAATAGGAGTAAACTCTCCAGTCCTTACTAGTATTCTGGAAGCTGCATTTTCCAAACTGTCTTTAAAGGTGCAATTCCATACAAGTTCAGACAGAAAAAAAGCTCCTGAAATTCCTAGCATGGCTGGCTAGGGGATGCTGGGTTTCCTTGGACATTTTTCAGTCTAAGGTTTCAGTCTAGACATACACAGGACTAAGCTCTTAAGATTGCCGTATATGGAAAGCATCACAATAGCCTGTTCTGGACATGACCAGCGTGTGTCGCTTGTTGCCCACACAGGTCACAGCTGGGACAGAGTCTCCAGCAGAAGCCACCCTGACAGCCGAAGCCATGAATTCTCTAAACAGGAACTACCTAATCATTGAAAGCCCAAAATACCAGGACTGGAACCTTGGAAGCACCATGCGCCTGGATTTGCAAAATGTCGGATCGAATGCCTTTTCCCACTTCTACTACATGGTAAATCCTTGGGGGTGGCAAATGGGATCTCTCCTGTCTGGGATGAATGGGAAAGTAGTCTCTGACATGCTTCAGGGTTGCTGCCACTCTTTCAGCTTCTTGTCTGCCTCTTTTTTTTTTTTTTTAACATTTCTATGCCGCCCCATTCGCAAAAAGCCTTGGGGAGGCTTAAAAAACAGACACAATACACACAATTAACCTTAAAAATTTGGAGACATTTCGGCACAATAAAAAACCCAATTAATAGTCAATTAACAATTAAAATAACTTTTAAATAAAAAGGTCTTGGCCTGGCGCCAAAAAACAAATAATGATGGTGCCAGGCAGACCTCTCTGGGGAGCGCATTCCATAGGTGGGGCACCACCACAGAGAGGTACTCACCCTCCTAATATCTTTCATGGAGGGTTCCCAGAGGAGGGCCTCTGCCGCCGATCTCAGGGGACAGGAGGGCATATATGGACACAAGCGCTCCTTTAGGTAACCAGATCCCAAGCTGTTGAGGGCTTTATAGATGGTAACCAACACCTTGAATTGGGCCCAGACTTCAATGGGAAGCCAGTGAAGCTGACAGAGGACTGGAGTCACGTGAACATAACGCCCAGTCCCCGTCAGCAGCCTGGCAGCTCTATTTTGAACCAACTGAAGTATCCGGACCATCTTCAAGGGCAGCCCCACGTAGAGTGCATTACAGAAGTCTAATCGGGAAGTTACCAATGCATGTGTCACTGTTTCCAGGCAATCGTTCTCCAGGTAGGGATGCAGCTGATGGATCAGCCGAAGCTGAAGAAAAGCGCTCCTTGCCACTGCCGTCACCTGAGCTTCTAATGACAGCTCTGGGTCGAGGAGCACTCCCAGGCTGCGGACCTTGTCCTAAGAGGGAGTGCAACCCCATTCAGGACAAGGTCCAGGTCCCCCATCCTGAAGCCCGACCCACCTACCAACTGGACCTCCGTCTTGTCTGGATTGAGCTTCAGTTTATTGGCCCTCATCCAGCCCATTACCTCAGCCAGGCACCGGTTCAGTACAGCCACTGCCTCACCTGGATTAGTTGAAAACGAGAGGTAGAGCTGGGTATCATCAGCGTACTGATGATTCCACAGCCCACACCTCTTAATTACCTCTTCCAGTGGTTTCATGTAGATGTTGAATAGCAAGGGGGACAAAATGGACCCCTGCGGAACTCCCTGGCATAGTTGCCATGACGCAGAGCCATAGTCCCCCAGCACCACCTTCTGGAATCGGTCATTGAGATAGGAGTGGAACCACTGCAAAGCAGTGCCTCCTACTCCCAATCCCGCTAACCTATCCAGAAGGATACCATGGTCGATGGTATCGAAAGCCGCTGAGAGGTCCAGGAGAACCAACAGGGACGCACTCCCCCGTCCTTCTCCCTGCACAGGTCATTCTACAGGGCGACCAAGGCAGATTCAGTACCATACCCGGGTCTGAAACCAGACTGAAATGGGTCCAGATAATCAGTTTCATCCAAGAGTGCTTGGAGTTGTCCTGCCACCACCCGCTCTAACACCTTGCCCAAGAACGGGATGTTGGCCACTGGTCTATAATTGGCAGCCATCTCTGGATCCAGGGATGCCTTCTTTAGGACTGGCCGGACTACTGCCTCCTTTAAAGGGGCAGGTACCTGGCCATCCCTTAGGCGTTGACAACCTCCAGGATCCAGGCCCCTATCCCGTCCTTGGCTTTCTTAAGTAGCCAAGATGGGCAATGGCCCAGTAAGCAGGTGGTGGGATGTACTTGTCCAAGCACCTTGTCCACATCATCAGACTGCAACAACTGAAACTCATCCATTAATTTTGGCCCAGACAGCAGCCAAAAGACACCTCCCCAGAAGTTTCTGATTAACTAGTAGAGTCCAGCTCATGACGAATCTAAGCGATTTTCTCCTTGAAATGCTTGGCGAAGTCATCACAGCGGGCCATCGAGGGTGGCACAAGATCATTCTTGGGGCCCGGTTGAACCAGCCCCTCTACCACCCGAAAGAGCTCCGCTGGACAGCATTGTGAGGAGGCAATGGAAGCAGAGAAGAATTTCTTCTTCGCCACCCTCACCACCACAGCATAGGCCCGATAATGGGCTCTTAAGTGTGTTCGGTCAGATTCATCCCGTGATTTCCTCCACCTACGCTCTAGACGTCTCGCAACCCGCTTCATCGCCCGTAGTTCAGGTGTATACCAGGGGGATGAACGGGCTCTGCCAGGTGGGAGAGGATGCTTAGGAGCAATCGTGTCAATAGCCCTGGTCATTTCCCCATTCCATAGTTCAACCAAGGCATCGACAGGAGCACCAGCCTTATCAACCAGGAAATCCCCCAGGGCCTTCAGGAATCCATCCGGATCCATCCGGCTCTGGGGGCAGACCAAAACAATCGGGTCCACACCTTTACAGAGGGAAAGGCCACTTTCGAACTCAAACCTCACGAGGAAGTGATCTGACCATGACAGGGGTGTCAGACACAAGTTCCTCACCCTCAGACCACCCTCTTCCTGCCCCGTCGAGAAAACCAGGTCCAGAGTGTGTCCACGTTCATGGGTCGGGCCGGTGACATGTTGGCCTGCAGGCCTGGGCTCCCACATCTGTCCTGTGTTTCTAGCCCAACCAATCAGGAATCCTAATCTGGCCTTCCATCTGTGGTTTCCCTGAAGACCACGTCCCTTATGCTTTCCCCTGTTGCCTTCCGCTGATCTCCAGCGGCAGATCATTTGCTGATGTTCCAGCTTTTACCTGTTTTCCCCCATTCTGTAAGACTAAACTGCCTCTCCTACACCTGAGCTACTAGCTATGGAAGTGTTAAGTAAAAAGATGCTGAAGTTCTGGCCGAACCACTTTTGCATTTGATCCCTCCAGACTTCTTTGTCACTGAAACATGTTCCCAAGAGCTTCTCCAAAATTGATTTTGGCCTTCAGGCTGACATAGGTTTGACACTCTTCTCTTCTTATGTAATTCAGCACCAGTAGTCATGAGTTCAGGTCTTGTTCGCCAGTTTCTAGGTGTACAGTTCAACTTTCCCTAATCCCTCACTCTGTCCCCTTGGGCTGCACTAAATACAGAATTATAGAATCGTAGAACAACAGGGTTGGAAAGGGCCAATCAGGCCCTTCAGTTCAGCCCCTGCTCAGTGCTGGAGTCCAAGTTCAAGTGTCGCTAACCAACGGCTGTCCAGCTGCATCCTGAATGGCTCTGGTATGGGAGAGCCCACCACCTCCCAGAATAACTGCTTCCATTGTTGCCTTGCTTTAACGATCAGTAAGTCTTTCCTGAAGTCCTGTCCTGCACTCTGTATGACTTGCAGTACTTGAAGAGTGCTATCATATTTCCCCTCAATCTCCATTTCTCAAGGTTCTAAACATGCCAATTCTGCAGTCTCTCCTCATAGGGCTTGTTGTGGGTTATTCAACCATCAGTGCCATAGTACCAATGAATGCCACTTTCCATTCTCAGCCACTTGTTTAGGATTAAATAACCATAAAACAGACCATAGGTTGTGCAAGGGTTGCTTAACGCTCACATAATCCACACTTGCTGGGTTCACAGAACGCAAGAAGAGGTTGTGTGTTCAAGGGTGACCACACATACCTGGCACTATAGGGTCACTGTGGGTTAAATAAACGAATAACCCACAGTTGGCTGTTGTCAGTTCTTCTGGGTATTAACCCATCCTTTTAAACAACCCATGGTTTGATCATTAGCTACAGATCATATCAGAAGCTATGGTTTTTTGTTCACTCCCACATCTGGCTTGCTTAAAACATGGTCTATTCTGATGTCTAAATCCAGAAGCATGGCTTATCTTTGGCTTGCTTGCTCAACTGTTTGACCACTCTGAATTAGAGGTGCCTGGCAAGAGCTGTCTGAGAATGAACTTGTCCTGCAAAATGAGCAGGAAGGAAACAAACCTGAACAGTCTGCATTCTGTTTGTTTGTCCGCAAGACATTTCATGGCTAAAGCAGCACATGATGCTTACTAAAACCCTGGCTTCGTGGTATGTGCAAGTGTAGCCATGTATGTATGACACTTACAGAATTCAAAAATAGTGCACAAATGCCAAATGCTGCTTTTTCAATTGCGTCTTTTCTTCCAGGTTTTGAACAAAGGGGACATTGTCTCTGTAGGCAAAGTTGCCCGTACTTCCTATGTTTCAGTCCCCATTCAAATCACACCTGACCTAATGCCCACTTTCCGCTTTGTGGCCTTCTACCGTATTGGAGAGGAAGTTGTGGCAAACTCCATTTGGGTGGATGTTGTTGACCGCTGCGAGGGAAAAGTGAGTGGTGTTTGAAAATGAGCTTGCCTCCTGAATGTTCTTTCCCTGAATCTGCTGCTATAGATTGTGGCGTTGATTTATATGTTAGATAGTTGACACTAGTACAGGTCCAAAGAATGGTCTGAGGTCACAGGATAATGGTTCTGTTACATGTCATGCTGGTCTCAAACTGGGAAGTTCCTAGATATCAGACTTCCTTGGAGCACCTTTCAAACAGCTCTGAGTTTTGCAAATGAAAAGTTGGGTAGGAATTCAACAGGTTACAAAATGTTGCGATATGGAATACTCCTGTTCAGGTGGGAGGAGTACTCCTTTTCAGGCTAATCAGCCATACCCTCTTTCCTGGGTTATGAACATCTGAGTTACAAACAATCCATACTTACAAATGAACTGTCATAAAGCGCATTAATTTTTTAAAAGAATACTATGGAAAATCATCATTAACAAAGGGAGAGGAAGAGAAAGGGGAAGGGGGCCTCCGAAGAATCACCATAGAGAGAGCGGAGGGGAGAGAGGGAGACCTCCAAATCATGCCTTCCTGCCCTGCCCTCCCCTTCTTTCTCGCTGTAAAGAGGAGGTGCTGGTGAATTTGGGCATGGGATGGGGTAGGCTAGAGATATTCATGTTTTCGCCACTTTCACGGGGTTCCTGAACCCCGAACCCCCACAAATGTGGAGTGCTGACTATACATAGAAATCACATAAACATTCAACTTAAAGGCAAATTTCTGTTTTCTAAGGAATGAAACTCGTTTGTAACTTGGGGGCTGCCTGTTCTCTTCATGTTGTTCCTTTCAGCAGCCCCCAGTTCAATGTAGCTACTGAACTTTGGTCTTCATGAAGCTGTTTTAGGTTCGTTGTTTTGCTGCATCTCCGCCCCCGGCAGGAGTGGGGAGTGCGTGGCCCACCAGTATTGCTGACCAGCATTTCCCGCCAGCTCTAGCAGGCAGTGAGGGATTTTTGGAACTGCATTTCAACAGTGATTTGAAGACCATTCACTCCTCTTCTCTGCTGGGGGTGGCGGGAGCAGGGCACCTACAGTGCTTTGTACTTCTGCAAGCCTTGTGGCTCCAAAGAATATGCTTACACCTCCTACTTCTTTCTCTGTGGCCTCCTTTTACCTACGTGTTACCAGCACCTGAATTTGCTATTAGGGGGAGTATTAAATAAAATTTGGAAGTAGTGTATATAGAACAAGACTTTTGAAATTTATAATTGTCACGTTAAATAGCATTTTGTTGTCGTTGTTGTTACAGGCAGTGTGGTGTAGTGATTAGCTTGTTGGACTAGGATTTGGGTGATCCAACTTCTAAGTCCTCTTGTGGCCGTGAAGCCTGGGTGAGCTTAACTTACCAAAACAGGGTTATTGTGAGAATAAAATGGAGAGCAGGAGGACTTTGTAGGCCACCTTGGGAAGAGGAAGGAAGATGGGATGTGGATGTCATGCCATTGTAATAATATTAACAACATTCTCATCTTCCTACCAACACTATCACTCTCCTGATACTTGCATTGCACAACCGTGAACATGGGGCACATTGTGCACAAACTTACCCTGCCAGGGAAAAAGCATCCTTTCTGGTCTGGCTAAAAGGTTTGCCTGGCACAGGAGGGCAGGCGATTGATGGAACGGGAAGATGACAGAGTGCATGGTGCATGGGAAATTGCACCATGGTGGGGAAGTGGTGGGTTGGCAAGTGTTGGGTGGTGGCTGGGGATTTTTAGAGGTGACTGCAAGGGGGTACCGGGTGCTAAAGAGGAATACGGGGCATTCCTGACTGTGCCCCTCCCATCTCCAGCTGGAAGTCAGCATAAAGGAAAACAGAAACGAATGGAGACCCCACGACCAGCCGAAACTCTCCATCAAAACAGACGCGCACTCTGTTGTGTCGCTTGCTGCCACCGATTCTGCCGTTCATGCCCTTGGTCGGAAGAACCGCTTTGCACAGGGCAAGGTATGTCTAAGCACATGAAAACCAGAGGGGCTCAAGTGCACCAGAATTCTTGAAACTGAATTTCAAAGCTTGGTTTAACTCGCACCCATTGTTTGTGGTGTATTTTTTCACCTCAGTCAGATGGGGAAAGCGTGCATTTTGAACAGGCAGAAGTATATGTTTTTCAAAAGTGCACACTTTTCCTCCATTGACTAAAGCAAGAAGCATTTGAGGTTACAAACAGGCCATTTTCAGGTGATTTGTGAACTGAACTGAAATTCTTGCATATCTCTAGCTACATTTCTCCTGCCTACTCTTTCCTGTATTGCTTGCTTTTTTCTTGGCCCTTGGTGTGTCCCATAATAGTCTTTCACAGTGTTGCTAAAACAGGTTGACCACCTGCTGCCACTCTAATGTCCAGGAATTGTGACCAACCCTGAACTGTGCTTCCAGAGCCTGACAGGACCAGAGACATTGCTACGCCTGAGATCATGGGCTCCCAACTCCAAATCTATTCTCCAAGCCCCAGATCTATTCCTCACAGATAATGCTTCGCTTCCCACATACCATAACCCAAGGCATCTGGGAGAAATTCAGTTTTGCATATTAGGACCACTTCCCCAATCTTGTGTCTCCAATTGTATTGGACTGCAATTCTCATCATTCCCAGCAAGCATGGCCATGGGAGTTGCAGTCCAACACACTTAGAGGGGACCAGGTTAAGGTAGATGGCGCTATCCAACCAAACCTCCAAATCTACACTTCTCTGAATGTTGCAGTGGAGTCTTCTAATAAGCATACACACACAAAACATATTTAGAGGAAATAATAATAAAATGCATTACAAAAATATGTCTATAGTAGGCAAAACATATACAAAGTGTTAGGAGAAATGCACAGAGTCTTATGAATGTTCATGAAAGCATACAAAACTTCTCAAATTTCAGGATGCACCAAACATAGGAGTGGAGAAATTTTTACTGTTTAAGACAAACTGAAGCTATGAATGAAAACAATGAGAAACTGAGGGAGATGGAAATAAACAGGCCCATCTACCTGGCAGCGCCAGAAGCAGAGGTGCTGGACATTAAGCCTGGGTCGTAGCATCATGACCAGACCTAAGCCAGAGCACATCAAGTTGGAGGACCTTGATCCAGGGCTCCTGGAACCCATTTGCTCAAATTCTGCACCCCTGAAAGAACTCCACACTGGGAGCCTGGACTCCCATGTTAGCAGCAGTGAACCTGGATTTGCCAGATCAGAGGTAGGGAACCTCAAGCTAGTGGGTTGAATCCAGCCCTCTCGGGGTCCCAGTTTGGCTGCCCCAGATGGTCACACCTCCTGTGCTTCAACCACTGTTCATTTCCTCATTTTCATGCTGTTTTCCCACATTCTACAAGTTTGAAATGCTTCTTTTACGGTTTATTTACTGACAACAATAGCTTTAAGCTACAAAATTCATTCATTCATTCATTCATTCATTCATTCATTCATTCTATTTCTACACTGCCCATCAACCCAAAGGCTCCCGATACAATACAGTACAATATTTGTATAATTTATTGTACAATAAAACAGTCATAAAATCACCAAGATACAATAATATAAATACAATAAAACAATGACCACCCACTGCAACCACAGTTAGCTCAATCTTAGAGGTACAGTAATAAAATATAGTAAAAATGGGAATACTATTAATATTGGGAAAACTATTAATACTGGGAAAATAAAAAGTTTTTCACCTGGCACCAGAAGGAATGCAGAGCAGATGCCAGGCATGCCTCTTTGGGGAGCTAATTCCACTGACGGTGCCACAACTGACAAGGCCCTTCTGCTAGTAGCCACTCTCCTTGCTCCCTTTCTGAGAAGGACCTCCACTGACATTCCCAGGCACCTGTGGAAGGAAGTGATCCTTCAGATAACCTGGCCCCAAACAGTTAAGGGCTTTAAATGTTAATGTTGGCACAATAGACTTGTGTTTGATCCCACCCCTTCTGCCATGGCCTGCACCCACCAATGGAATGCAGGGGAATGTAGTTTCTCCAAAAGGAAATTTGGCCCTCAAGGAGAAAGACATTCCCCATCCCAGCACTGGAACTTGGTCCCCTCTGTGAATGGAAGTAGGCCTTGATTGAGGGAAGTCCAGTTACGGTCGAAGCAGGGCCAGCACTGCCATTAGGTGGAGCGAAGTGGCTGCCTCAGGCATCTGAGTAGGGCTGTCTTATCTCATGTATTTATTGCTTTCTTTTTATGTGTTTAATACTGTATTATTGCACCATATTTCCAGGAAAGGCGGAAAGACTTTTCTGCTGCAGGTAGCAGTGTGAAATGGTTACTTGGTTACTGTGCACTTTGGTCTGGGCATTCAGGAGGAACCACTGACTGCTCTGCAAGCAGCAAAAATGCCTGCGGCTGTTCCTGGATCCAAGCCTCTGCTGCCTCCTTCTGCCCCTCTGTGAAAAGCCCATGAAAATATGCCAACCTGCATAGGGAAGCACACGCACTCCAGCAAGCTGTTAACATGAACCTGGTGGCCAGACATTTTCTGTCATCTTTCCCCCATCTTGGTTCCTGTGTATCTCTCGGTGTTGCCCTTGTACCCATTCTTGCTCATCATCCCATCTTTTTGCACCACCCATGTGCAGTGGAGCCAGAGCTCCGTGAGATGCAGCCTGACATTTTTGGATTGGCAGGGATGCTGACACCCTGCGCCACCCCCCTCAGAATTCCTTGCTCTCTCTGGGCAAAGCAACAATCCTCAGAGTAGCTTGTGGTGTGGATGAACCACTTCCCCTGCAGAGGAGGGCAGGACATGCTCCAACGGAGCCGAGCTCAGGGAGCCAAGTTTGGATGCCAGGAAGCACTTCCTGACAGTCAGGACCCCGAGGGCGTGGAACGGGCTTCCATGAGAGGTCGTTGAGGCCCCATCGGTGCAGGTGTTCAGGGATAGGCTGGACGTGCACATGGTGGGCATGTTGTGAGCGGAGCCGGCTGGTGCCGGAGGTCAGACTAGATGGCCCGGGAGACCTCTTCTGACTCGCTCTGTTTCTGTGTTTCTATGAAGTTGCTTAGCCACATTTTGCGGCTGCTGTTTTGGGGTAGCTGGCCTTGAATAGGGAAGTAAGCCCTGTTTGCGCGTGGTGGGGATGAACGTTGCTAGAACTGTTTATTTGTTATAGATCAGGCAATTCCCTGCATGTTCGGACCTTCCTCGGAAAGGAATCTACAGGAACAATCATGACAAGCCCTCCCACTTCAACACTTAATACTGCTGCCCATAACCTTTTTTCTTTGTCTTTCTGGAAACAGGTTTTCCAGGCCATGGGGAGTTATGACCTTGGCTGCACAGCTGGCAGTGGAAGAGATACCCTCGGTGTTTTTGCCGATGCTGGACTCTCCATTCGTTCTGGGACACTGCACAGCCCTCTCCGTAAAGGTGAGCTTCCGCAAATGTGTTTAAGCCCCAGGATCCCATGTGAACAGAGAGGCCAGCCCTGTAGCATCTTGCATCCTGGTACTGTCTACAGCAGCGGTGCAAAAGCATGAGTGACAAATTTGCTTTTGTGAATCCTGAAGGGAACCCCATTTTGTGCTGTGTAGGGCGGAAAGACACAGGATTCCCATTTCACTGCCAGTAACTGAGCCTTAGGACAGGATTTCCACCTTCAGAATGAAGAACAGCAGAAAATCCAGGAAGGCTCCAAACAGTTAGAGGAAGAGGAGGAGCCAGGGGCCTGGCATGGCCACTGGGAAACCCTGGAGTGTTGGACTAGGACGTCAGTAGGGACAGGCTTGGGTGCATAGCAGTCCTATTAAATTCCGAAGAGATGCAGCTGCGTGCACGGTTTCCCCTGCAACAGCCGTGTTAACTTACATAGAACAGCAGTGTCCCGTAACTTAACATGCCACACTCGTGTTCGCTTTGCTTTTCACAGCTCACGGATGCAGTGAGGTTGCTTCCCGGAAGAAGCGCTCCTTGCAGTTTCACTCTGAGCTCAAGAAGAAGCGTAAGTGGTGTGAGGGAGAGGGAGGGTGGGGGGTGGTGCCAAAGGGCAGGGGAAAGATTGGTGTCTGCTCCAGTGTGGCCAGGCGTGCCAAGGGCCCACGGCCCACCCCTGTGCTGAGGCCTGTCCCGGGCATTCCTCCCTGGCTGGGCTGAAGCCAATATTTTAATTTGCCCTCACCGTGTCCCTCTGGGAGCTACTTCTTCAAATTCCTGTGTTGCCTCAGATTGATGCCGTGTCAGGGGCACTGTGGGATGGAGACTGAAATAGCTCGAAATCCCTCACTGTGCATGCTCCCAGAGCAGGCCTTTCGTTGTGCCATCACTGTGCCTCCCTCGTGGAGCTTTATAGGAGGTCCGGATGGAGCTGCCTTCCGCCCATCACCCTCACGTGTGTTCTTGCTGCACACGTAGCATTTTTTCCCTTCACTACGCCATGTCCTCTGGTACCACCAGGTGGAGCCACCCGTCTGAAAGCACTTGCAGTGTCAAGGAAAAAACACCTTGTGCCCTAGAGCACAACACACGCAGGACACGCCTGGCAATGCCAGAGCCGCGTTTCTGGTGGCCCCTGGGCAAGACCGTCTCAGCGTGGCAGCCCAGTCAGTGAGCCGGCCTTCTCCCCACCATGTTCCCTGCACCTCTTCCTCCTCACTCTCTTTATGAGCACTGCCACCACCCTCTCGCTCGACAAACAAAGACTCGGGGAAGAAATGAGCCATGGCGTGTACTTGTTGCCGCTCCTCCTGGCCATCCTTGTTGCTAAGACCAGAGCAAGAGGCAGGTTGCGAGGGCCCAGCGAAGGAGCCACTCCAGGGATCTCTTGCCCCTGAGCCCCTGCAGGCCTGGAACCACACACCTTCCTGCACCGGGCAGGGTGGCAGTCCTGCTGCTCCTGCTTGCCTACCTGCTCCCTTGGCCAGCTGACCCCAGACCCCCTCCCTCACCCCCGTTTGCCTGGCCGCTCTCGCCTTCTGCCCTTGCTGGGGAACCCCCACGAGAGATCAGCCAACCACTTGTGGGAGCCCTGCGGATGGAGTGCAAGGCTGGAGCTGCCGGATGGGCAGAAGCGAGTATCTAGCCAGGCTGGCAGGCAGGCTGACCGAGCAGGTGCAATGGGAAGGCAGGGAGGCTGGCCGCAGCAAGAGGTAATGGTGGCCAGTCATGCACCCACCAAGTGGCTTTAGAGCATCTCGCCAGTTGCTTTCTCGTGGCAGCAAATGCCGCCGCGGAAAGACGGAAGGCAGGGCACTCTGGAGCACCTGCTGGGGGAAGCAGTGGGCGATCCTTCCTGCTGTGCTGCCTGACGAAAGTGCATCAGCCCGCACAGGGGTAGAGCTGGCCCTGACCACCTGCCACCCAGTCATCCCTACTCCTGAAACTGGGCCTGACAGCAAGTTGCTTCTCCTAGGCAGCATCTCCTGGCATGTTACAACACATTTTCTCTCTGCCTTGCTTGGCTTGAACGCACAGAAGCATAAGGGAGAAACATCTGCTACCTTTTTATCAGCACCCCCTCTTTCCTGTGTCCTCCCCTCCCCTCTCCCCAGTTTCCAAGTACCGGGACTCCTATTCTCACTGGTGCTGCCAAGGTGGCATAGCACAGCTGCGCGGATCGGCGACGTGCGAGCAACGTGCGGAACGGATACCGGGTCCCAGAGCCCAGCAGTGTCGCACTGCCTTCCTTGACTGCTGCAAGCATGCTGCCAGCCTGCGACGGAAGTCCTGGGGGTCCCACAGTCTTGCACGGAGTGAGTAGAGAGCCTGTAGTGCACTGCGGATCTCTGACTAACCTTGGAGTTATTGCGGACAATGGGCTGAATATGAGCAAACAATGTCATGCAGCTGCAAAAAGGGCACATGCTATTTTGGGATGCACGAATAGAAGTATTACTTCCAAATCGCAAGAAGTAGTAGTTCCCTTATACTCCGCACTGGTCAGACCCCATCTGGAATACTGTGTCCGGTTCTGGGCACCAAGATTTAAGAAACATGCAGGTAAATTAGAAAGGGTCCCGAGGAAGGCAACAAAAATGGAAACACTGTCCTGTGAGGAGAGACTGAGAGAACTGGGCATGTTCAGCCTTGAGAAAAGAAGACAGAGGGGGGGACATGATATCCCTCTAGCAGTACCTCAAAGGATGTGACAGAGAGGAAGGTCAAGATCTCTCCTCACTGATGCCAGAGTGCAGGACACGGAATAATCAGCTCAAGTTGCAACAACCCAGATTCAGGCTAGATATCAGGAAAAGCTTCCTCACTGTTAGAGCACTGAGGCAATGGAACCAGCTGCCTAGAGAGGTAGGGGGCTCTCCTATCCTGTAGATATTCAAGGGGAAACTGGACAGTCATCTGAGAGGGATGGTGTAAATTGGTGTCCTGCAACAGTAGGGGGTTGGACCCGATGGCTTTCTTGGCCCCTTCCAACTCTGCTCTTCCGTGATTCTATGAACTAAAGTGGGAGGAGGAGGAGGCTATTGGTGCTACTCATCTTGCTGGCTGCGTGTTACCCCTAGACTCAGAGGCAGCATGTCCGCGTTGCAGGAGCTGCTGGAGAACAAGTGGGGGCTTGATATTACGACTTCTATCTAAGTTTCTCAGAGACATGGACAGCTCAGTGAAAATGTTTACTCAGTGTGTAACAGATGTGAGAAAGGAAAATGCCACGTTAGGCATCATTCAGAAGTTTTAAAAATAAAACTGCCAAGATCATAGTCAGTTTATACAAATCTTTGGTGAGATCACAATTGAAATCCTGTGTCACCACACCTGAAAAGAAAGGATGTTGTAGAGTTAGAAAAAGGGCAGCTGAAATGATCGTGGGCTTGGGCAGCCCCCTGACAAGGAAGGGCTACAGCAGCTGGGATTGTTTAGCTTAGTACAAAAGATGAATAAGGGAAGTACAGGATTATGCATGGTGTGGAGAAAGTTTATTGGACCTAGGAGTGTCATCCTATGAAGCTGACTGGTGCAAGATTCTGGACAGACAGAAGGAAGCACTTGCTCACATAGTGGAGAGTTAAACTTCTGCAAACGTAATGATGGCCAGCAGTTTTGATGGCTTTAAAAGCACACTGGACAAATTCATGGTGCATCAGTAGTCAATGACTACTAGTCCTCATGACTGTAGGCTACTTTCAGTATGAATATGTATACCAGTTGCTGGGGAATTTAGGCAGTAGGTTGCTGTTGTACTCTGATGCTACCTGTGGGCTTTTTGAGACCATCTGATTGGCCACTGTGTCGACAGAATGCTGGACTAGATGCACGTTTGATCTGAAGGGTGCTTGTATGTTAGCTGTTCTTTTGTTAGATAAACAACTATATGGATTTATTTGGTGGGTGGAAAAGATAAATCAAACAAAGCAGCTGTTTCAACCTTCTGGATGTGTCCAAGATCCCAGATTGCTAAGGCCTGTTTTAGTTGCTAAATATTTGACTCCAGTGACTGTGAAATATGATTACAGTGGTACCTCAGCTCACAAACTTAATCCGTTCCATGACGCTGGTAGCTACCCAAATTGGTCGCGAGCCAAGTCAAATTCCTCGATAAGGTTCAATATAAATAAGGTTAATCCCTTCTGTAAATATTTTTTAATCACAAAAAATTGAAACAAAGTAACAAAGAACAACACAGTAACAAAGTACAGTAGAGAACGCTAACGGGGGAAGTTATTGTTTGGAGGGAGAGTCCAAACCATAATTGTGCGATAGCGATCATGCGAGTGGGGGTGGAGATGGCCGTGATCGTGCTGGGGGGAGATGGCCTTGATGCAGGGTGTGCTCGATCAGGGAAGAGGGGGCAATCACAGGCGCGATCGCGGGCGACTGGCGGGGAGACCGGTGCGATCACGGGCACACTCGTGCAGGGAAGAGGGGCGCGATCCAGCCCTCCCCGCCAAGCACGACCACGATCATGCCCGTCTTCCCTGCATGAGCGCGACCACGATCGCAGCCATCTCCTCCCCCACCCCAAGCATGATCGTGCAGGGAAGATGGGCGTGATCGGGATCATCACCCAATGCGGAGTTCGCGGCCTGAGTCAATTTTTTTCTGAAATTTTTGTTTGTGACCTGATTTGGTCATGAACTGAGGTGTTTGTGAGCTGAGGTACCACTGTATTAAGTAAATCACCCCGAGTCCTCTGCATATTGCAGACTGGAGGAATAAACCTGAGAGCAAGCATCGCCCTAAGTCCATTTGCTTGTGTGCATTAAGACTGGAATGGGGCTCTACACAGAACTCTTGTGAGTTCACAATCCATTCTGTAGCAGGGCCAGCTCTACTTTTAAGCAAAGTGAGGCAACCCCCTTGTCCTTTGCCTGAGGTGGCAAAATGTTTTGGTCTGGCCCACGTTAGTGGAAAGACATCCCTTCTGTCCTTAATGGCAGTCTGATGTAGTAAGCACAGTGTGGACTTCCTGGGTTCAGTTCTTTGTTCAGCCATGGGGCTCTCCTCACAGCCTTCGCTCAGTTGTGTACACTCATCCTAACAAGCTTTCCTCAACATGGTTCCCTCTGGATGTTCTGGAGTTCAACTTCCATTAGGTCCAGCCACCAAGTCCGGTGCTGTGGAATCCCAGGAGCTGTAATCGAAAACATCTGGAGGTCAAAGAAACAGCATTTACAAAACCCAAGTTGACATAATGACAACGGGGGGCATGGTCTGAGCTCAGCACTTCTGCCAGGCTTCTCGCAGTTTTGACTGGCCTACCATAGGCTTCCCCAGTCTGGTGCTCTCCAGATGTTTTGAACTTCAACTCCAATTAGACTAAGCCAGCATCAGCAATGTTCAGGAATGATGGGGGAGTTGGGAAATCATCACAGAATCATAGAATCATAGAGTTGGGAGGGGCCAAGAAGGCCATCAGGTCCAGCCCCCTGCTTATTGCAGGACTACCAGTTAAACCATCCCTTTCAGTTGGCTGTCCAGTTGCATCCTGAATGCCTCTAGTGTGGGAGAGCCCACAACCTCCCCAGGTCATTGGTTCTATTGTTGTACTGCTCTAGCAATCCTGATGTCCATCCAGAACCTTTCCTGTCACTGGAGCCCATTATTCCATTCCTGTGCTCTGGGATGATTGAGAAGAGATCCCGGCCTTCCTCTTTGTGACAGCCTCTCAAGTATCTGTAGAGCGCCATCATATCTCTTCTTGAGGCTAAACACACCCAGTTCTTTCAGTCTCTCCTCACAGGGCTTTGTTTCCAGTCCCCAGATCATCCTTGTTGCCTTCCTCTGTTCCCTTTTCCAGCTGGCCTGCATCTTTCTTAAGCTGTGTGCCCATAACTGGAGACAGGACTCCAAACGAAGCACCAGGTTAGGGAACATTGTCCCAACCCGCCCCACAGGCTGGTGATGATGATAAATGTGGGGATGGACACTGGGCATAATGTCCTGAACTGCTTGAAGGAAGAATTGGGTTTTAAAGTAATCAATAAAATGAAGAGGGACTAAAATAGTAATTCCCCTCTATAATCTCAAAAGAATAGCCTGATCTGCAGAGAATAGAATCCTGAACAAACCAAAAATCTGGGAGAGAGGGAACTCTCAGCCTAGATGCTCCTCTTTCCGTGTAGCTGAAGATGAAGAGGACAAAGATTTCTTTAATGATGACGCCATTCAAGTTCGAAGTGTCTTCCCTGAGAGCTGGCTCTGGAGATCGTACACGGTCAATAATGTCCTCACGTGAGTAGGCTGAGAAGCCTTCCCAGTGTTCCTTTTCTTTCTTCTTCCCAATGTTATTCTTTCCCTCACTCCCATTTGGCAGACACTGAGTCTCAAGCTGCCTTAGACTGTCTTCCTCCCACCCCCACCTTCCCCTCAATGCCTTGCAGATGTGTTGGTGTGCAGCCCCCATGCTTCCTGGGGATGCTGGGAGTTGTTGCTCGACATTTAGGAGAGAGCCAGGCTGGAGAAGGCTGAGCATGAAGCTGGAGGAGGGATCTCAAGCCCCCGGATTGGGGCCTACAAGGAAAAACTTCACACCAGGGCAGGCAGGAGAGAACATCCTCTAGTCTCAGAAGGGATATGGTGCTTCGCTAGGGCGCTTGGTTTGCATGCAGGCAATCTCAGCTTCCACTTCTGGCTTCTCTGAATAGCGCTGAGAAAGACACTTGCCTGAAATGCTGGAGAGCTGCTGGCCAGTCATTGTCTGGATACAGGACAGTTTCTGGTTTTTCTAAGAACTCCTGTGGCCCCAGAATGGCCCAGCAGTCAGTTCCAAACAGGATCAACACAGGCCAGAACAGGGCATGTCTCTCAAACTGCTTTGCGGCGATGTGCTGTTGCTTTCCTTTTTGCTCTTGTGTGAGTGCAGGGCCCTGATCCAGATTAGACCCCAACATGGAGGCTAGTGGGTTCTTAAGAGCGAAATTGGTCCTTTTGTGCCTATTCTAGAGGAAAAATGAAACTGTGAAATAGTGACTAGACAGAGATGCCTCTTTCGGTTCTCAGTTGCACTAGTTCAGATTACAAGCAGAAGTCTGCAGGATTCAAAGCTCCTCCAAGATTACAAGCAGGGGCTTGCAGGATCCCACCCTGCCCACGCAGTTCTGCACATGGATGCACCTGCCCTTCTCCCCTGACGTGCTAGTCCTCTATGCGCTGAAGATTCCCCCCCCCCCCCACAGCAAGACATTTTCCCCATCCTGTGAACCTGCACATGCAGCTCCTGGTGGTGGAACCAAGATGCCTGTGGATCAACTCAGTGTGAAGGACGAGGCCTATTCCTGGCCTTCACAATGCCGCCACACCAAGGGGAACAGATGGGCTGTTGCTGTTGGCCGAATAACATTGAAGCCAAAGCAAGCATGTAATAACCTCGGAAACCTTCCGACCAGTAACGGGACAAAACCACAAGTTACCTCCCAGCTCCTGATGCTCACCTTCTCCACTTTCCCATCGGTTCTTTCCTGCCCTCACCAGGTAAAAAGGTTTTATTCCTGTCTCCCCCAGGCAACAAATAACTCTTCCTGACTCCATCACCACCTGGGAAATACAGGCAGTCAGCATGTCTTCACAGAGAGGTGAGCTGAGCCATATGTCTGCTTGTTGAAGAACTAACCCCGCACAGACTTTACCTGTAACCCTAATCTTTAGGACTGCCTTCTCTTGTGTGTGCCTTCCTGCAGTCCAGAAAACCACGACCCTCCAGATGGTCTTGGACCTCCTCTCCCAATTATTGTGTGCACGTGTACAAGCAAACCTGAGGCACATTCATGGGAGACTAACCATGCTATTGTGGCTGTGATTCAGAGTTGGACGATGAAACTGGGGAGCTGCTAGGGGTAGCTCAGGGTCCCGGGACACAACCGGGGGAGGCAGTAGAGGGTTAGGGTTAGGGTCTACTCAAGGACAGACAGTGATGCAAACCCTGGGAAGAGAGGAAAGTTGCAACCAGTGGGAGGGGCTGTTGAGATGGGGAATTCTTCCAACAGAGTCCAGTCCCTCCCTTCGGAGGTGGACCCGGTGCTCCATCAGCAATACCAGCAAGAAACCCAGCAGAGCTGGTTTCATAAGGAGATGGGTCCATAAGGAGAGCTTTGGGAAGTGAACAGTAGATAGGGTTCAACAAACTACTTTGCATATGCTCAGAGATTCATGTGAAACAATAAAGATCATTAACAAGGAAACAGTTGGAGGCTGGTGCTTGTTGGAGGGAGAAATATGACACGTTACACCCATCACCTGTAGTCTGAGTGGAGCTTACTCCTAATTTGGCCTAGGCTATATTTTGATAGCACCTGTGGTGGGTTTAGGCCAGAGCGTTAAACCACTTCGAGCCCAGCAGCCAAATACCATTTTGGAAAGTTCTTCAAGGCTTCATTCTAGTGGTGGGCAAAAAGGACAGGACCAAAACCAACTTTTACTTAACCCAAAGTTCTCACTATTATTAACTAAACCTTAAGAGAGAGATTTTAACCTTTGCAGATGGGGTGAAGCTGCACAAAAGTTGGGAAACCACTAAACAATCTATTGCTAGGGAAATGGGAAGAGCCACGGGAAGGGGTATGATCATTGAGGGGACCATGGAGGGCTAGACTGGGACCCCAGATCTTGGGCACAAGGTTCTTATATCCCTGCCTCCCATTTGTCCAGCTGCCCGTCTTTCTCCCTCTCCATCTTTTCACACCCTTAGGCATCTGCATCTCAGAACCACTTCAGCTTAGAGTCTTCCAGGACTTCCACATCTCCCTCCGGCTGCCATACTCAGTGAAACGGTTTGAGCAGATAGAGCTTAGTCCAGTTCTGTACAACTACCAGCCCCAGCCAATCACGGTAAGTGCAGTCTACAAGTCCTTGTTCCCCTTTGCCTGCTCAGTTTGGCTTCTTACCCCAACTCTGTGAGATAATGGCAAAGAATTTACGCTGGCTCTCTGTGATCTTTTGGGACACAACTGTTTAAAACTGGTCCCTGTAAATTAAGCAGTAAACCTTTAGCTGAGACGTTTACTAGTTGATTAATCTACTTGTTAAGCAGATTAACTCTTGCTGCTCCATTTCTTCTCTTCCTGTTTAGGCCTCTGTGTATCTGGAACCAGCTGAGGGCATCTGTTCCCCAGCGACTATAGGCCCAAAGCAGAAGCGGCAGGTGGAGGTTCCTGGGAACTCAGCGGTTCCAGTTCCCTTTGTTTTGGTTCCCATGGGAGCAAGTGACATCCCCATCACTGTGGCTGCCATTGGTGACTGGGGGATAGGGGACAAAGTTTCCAAGAAACTAAGGGTGGAGGTAAGAAGGTTTCACTTCCTCCAATATTTTTGCACTCCCACACCCAGGTCCCTCACCCTAAAGGCAGAACCAGAGCTGATGATGCGTAGTGGTTAGCATGTTGATTACACCAGAATCCTCATGCGAACATTTTGCAATTGCCTCTCTCTCACTACTGCTGTGCGTATATGATGCTGCAGAGCCCAGCCACTTCTAGTCTGTTGGATTCACATTTTAATTGTATCTGTGTACTAATATCAATCTCAGATTAGGAGCACTCATGTTTATGGAGTCAAGATGGCACCACCCATGCACAAGAAGGGCGAGATCTCTTCTTGCTCATCCCTGAGTGTGGGACATAGAGTGAGCAACCCATGTTGCGACAACCCAGATCGAGGCTAGAGATCAGGAAAAGTTTCCCTGCTGAGAAGCCATACGACAGTGGAACCAGTTGCCTAGAGAGGTGGTGGGCTCTCCACATGAGAGACTTTCAAAAAGAAACCAGACAGCCATTTGATGGTGTAACTTGGTGTCCTGCACCAGCAGGGGGCTGGACTTGATGGCCTTCTTGGCCCCTTCCAACTCTGCTATTCTGTGATTCTATGAAAGGAGGGAAAGGTGCATGGGAGGGAGGGAGGGAGGGAGGGAGGGGAATGGAAAGGAGTATCCTGAAAAGGGGCATTGATGGGAGGAAGAATGGATTTGCTAAACCATAAACAAAGGCACGCAAACTAACATTTTGGTGCAATATCTACCCCTTTCTCCCAGGAGCTCAGGACAATGGAATTAACCCATTTTCCCCCACAAGATATCGGTGAGGTTCTGTGTTTGACCTAAATTCACCTAAGAAGCTTCATGACTAAGCAGGGATTCTTCAAACTGAGATAATCCTCCAGTCAAGTCCAACCCCCTGTTCCCTGAGGACCACCCTGGCTCTCCTATTGCCCCTGACATTTCCCTGCACCCACCTGTTCTGTTTCTTCTCCAATACAGAGAGAAGGCGCGGTCTATGTGGAGGAATACACGATCCCCCTGGATAACGAGGGTAAGGAGAAAACATCAGTGGTGACGGCAGAACTGAAATGAATTCCTGATGGTGGGAAACACAGTGCAAGCTCTTAACACTGAACTTTAGCACCTGCCCTCAACCCACACCCCCTCTCCCTGCAAGGCTGCATTAGCCCATGTCACATGTCTTATTTCTTCCTGCTTTAACAAACTTTTTTTAAAAATTTGGAAATTAAAAAGAGAAAATTAGCAAAGAGAGAAATTAAATGCTGCTGAAACAGACCCATACTCCAGAGCCAGGTTTGGAAGGAAGGAAACCCTTCCCTCCACTTCAGGCATCAGTGATGATGACTGGTTGAAGCAAGAAGTGTGTGGTTTCTGGGCCAGTGTCAAGAGTGCCTGCAGAAGGTCCACAAACCATGAGGGGCTGACTTATAAGAACCTCCTGGAGTTGACGCACCTTCTTGCTCTGCCCCAGGCAGAAGGTGGAGTTGCAGAAGCCACTGCTGATTTGCTGCCTGGTTCCCTGCCTGCCCCACACTCAAGCAAAAGCAAGACCTAGAAACCAGAGGAGGTGCAAAGCAGCTGGGACTGTGGTGGCAGAGAAGGGGGATTCACTGAATGTGGGGGCCTATTGGGGGTGCTTTGCCCAAGAGCTCCCCAAAACCTGGCAGTACTGGGATTTCCTTCTACTGCAACATGTGACCTCACTCTTTAGCTCAAGCTGTTCCTTCTTCAAGCAACTTGGGAGCTCCCCTGTGCCACTCTCTGACTTAATATAGGTCAGAGGTTGAGCAACTTGTCTTCTGTACAAAGCTGCAACTCTCATCATCCATCATCTGCCATGATGGCTAGGTGGTCAAGAGGTTCTCCTCATGTCATTTATACATCGCTACATCTCTGTTGACTTCATCTATGGGGCAGCTTAGGAATCAGTCCATCAAGCTCATCCCCAACATCCTTTCCTTTGCCTAAACTTGAAGTGGTCCCAATCTTAAACTTCATAAGGAAGAGTAAAACTGCAAAAAGAATGCTAAGGAACTGGTAATCTGGGCCACCAGAAATATCTTGTGGGCAGGATTCCTAGCTGCTTGACCAAAAGAAGTTCTGAGGGAAATTTGCAGAACCTTTTAGAAGGCGATGCTGAGTATTTCTGAGTTGAGGATGGAGCAGGTATGGTTTCTGGTGCCTCCAACTAGAGTGGGTGGAGAAGGGGAGGAAGCAAATTCAAGATTCCTAAATGATTTGGAAGGGCTGTTGTGTGGGAGCATAAGAAGGACCTTTCTCCCTCCCTCCCTCTCTCATTGTGACAGATGGAAAACTCCAATCTCTGGAGATTTCAGGCAAGATGCCCTCCAATGCCATTCCTGATGGTGACTTCAAGATGAGTGTCCGGATAACAGGTGTGAGAGTGACCCTGAAACCTCAAATTCTCCCCTGGCTTTAGCTCTCAGTGTTCTACTGCTAATGCTCCACAAATGATTCCAGTTTGAGGGGACTGTATATCTTCAAAGGCATATGAGCAACAGTTCAGTCTTTTCTTTCCCAACAGATTTTCTGCAAGGGGAAAAAATAGAAGCAGTAGGAAAACAGGGAGGGTTCCAACTGTAAGATGACTCTCTCTATGTGCCACAGAAACATTCTGTGAATGAGGTGGGGGGATCGTGTATACAATTCTGTGAATGAGGTAGGGTGATGGGGTGATGATGTGGCCAGGAGGCAAATGTTTCTTTTTAAGATTCAAAAACAAGGAATACTCCATAGGTGAAGGCTAACTGTTGTTAATAAGCATGGAAAAGCAAAGGAAGAAAGCGAAACACTGCAGGGCAATGAGTACAGCAAGAAACTACAGAGCAAGGTGCTTATGCTGAAGACTTGTAAGCTGCCTAGGAAGTACTTTGGCAGTTCTAAGCGGCATATAAATATGAAAATAAATAAATAAGACCCTACAACCATCCAGATTTCAGCTGTGCTCACAGAGTGCTCACAGAAGTGAGAAATGTAGAAACCCAGGACTTCATTATTATAGTGATTTTGCAGCACTTCTGCCCCCTGAATATAAATTCATTTTAAAATCATTCATAAAATGCAATAAAATAAAATCTATTGCCAACGGGAAGCCTGGACATACAGATTTGTCCAGGATCTTTTGCTTAAATGTCAAACTGCCCATGGTGCAGCTGGGTGGTTTTAGACTCTGGTTGGACTTAATGAGTTCAGGCAATTTCTGAAACTTTTTCTCAGCTTCTTCAGTGTTGCGTTATGCTGCTTACTTCAAATGGTGTTGTTGGATGATACTGTATACGACCTAATTTACTTCAAAACGTGGCAAGCCAGCTCTGCTGTGCTTGGAGCAGGTCCTTCTGATGAAACTGGGGTTATGCAGCACCCCGGTATATAGTGGTTAGAGTGGTAGACCGTAACTTGGGAGATCTGGGTTATAGGCCTCACTTGACTGTGAAACTCACAGGGTGAGTTTGGGCCAATCACTGACTCTCCCCCTCACAGGGTTCTTGTGAGGCTGCAATGGAAGGGGGGATTATGTAAGCTGCCTTTAGTTTGAGAAAGGAAAAAAGGCTGTATATAAATTGTATATATTATTATAATGGCACTGCTGTGAGTTACATGTTGTGTTGAAGTTTTTTGTCCAGATATGCCAATATTAAAAAGAGAAGCGATATTGGGGAGGGGAAATGGTTTCATTCATCCTGATCCTCCAGCCCCTTCCCAACCTAAGCCAACCTAAGCGAAGCAACCTAAGCGTATTTTTTGTATTTTTGTATTTAGTGGTAATTTATTATGTTCTATTGTATTTCAATGTATTTTATTGTGTTGTAAGCCACCCCGAGGCTTCGGCAAGGGGCGGCATAGAAATGTAATAATAATAATAATAATAATAATAATAATAATAATAATAATAATAATAATACTGCTGATCCATTCTTTCACCTGGGTGCAGGATCAGTGCCCACAGACACCTTGGAGAGCTCTCTGACACCCGACGGCCTGTCTTCACTGCTGCGGGTCCCACGGGGATGTGGAGAGCAAACCATGATTCTGATGGCTCCTGGGGTCTACGCCATGCGCTACCTGGACAAGACTGAGCAGTGGCTGCATCTGGAACCAGAGAGCAAGGAAAAGGCACTGGAGAACCTCCGCACAGGTGTGTGGCGTGTCTGCCAGGATGCAAGAGGAGTATGCATTGCCCTGCACTGAGGCATCTCCTGATTAACTTGCCTTCTTAGGAAAAAACTGGGTGCGTTCCCCATCCCTACTGTGGAGATTGCAGCCAAGCTCAGAGAGAACAGGGAATTCTGAGGGACGTGCCAGGTTCCTAATTTAAAAAGAGATAGTGCTGCCTCCCTGGGAACCCTGGTTCCTCTGCTCCGTTGTCCATTGATTAGCAGCTCCCCTGCCTCCAGCTCTTATTATTTATGTATTTATTTGGAGCATTTTTATCCCATCCTTTACAAAAGCCTCACAAGCTCCTGCCTTGTGCCAGGCCAGCACAAAAGCCAGCCTGCTTCTTCCTCTCCTCCCAGGTGACAAAAATGGTGATCCCAAAAAGGCACGATTGTCAGTCTCAGTCTCTTGCCTTTTGTGTCACAGGTTATGAGCGGATCCTCACTTTCCGGAAAGAGGATGGGTCCTACAGTGCTTGGCTCAGCCGCCCCAGCAGTACCTGGTGAGTCCCAGCACTGGGAAGGAGTCCGCATGAGTAACAGGGGAAGAATGGGAGGGTCCCATTGAAAATCTTGGGGAGCGGGGCCCTTAGCAGACTCCTCCTCTTCAGCTTTTTGCTTGTTTACAAGTAAGGCACCCATATGTGCATTAGTCTAACTTCAGTCCCATCAATTTCAGTGGGGCTACTCTGAGGACCTGCATTGGACACAACTTGAGGAAAGAGTGGTGGGTGGTTTGAGTGCCTAAAATGAAGCTCTGTTCATCCTTATCAGAGGAAATGGGGTTAAAGGATGGGTTGCAAGCTTGGGGGCTGGACAAGAGAGGGTTAACAGAACCAGGGAGACTGGGTGCAGATTGCCTTAATGGCCCTAGACCAGTTGCCAAGTGCTTCTCTTCTGTAATTCCCTTCTGGCTGATTTAGCCTTAGTGGCTGCCCTCTGTAATGATTAGGCTGAGATGCAGAACCTCAGGCCAATCTGGAGTCCCAGTATAGCCCTCCAGAGGCTCTGCCTCATTTCACCTCTCCTCTCTTCTCTATTTGGTGTCCCGGCTTTTGTGCAACCTCTGACTCTCTCTCTCTGTGAAAAGTCTGAATGAAAAATCTCTCTTTCTAAAAAGTCTGAATGAAGTCTCCCCAGCTTAACTGAAACAGAATTCGGCCCCTGGGCTAAAAGAAGTTCAGCAAGCTAGTCATACAGATCCTATGCAGTTGCTGCTTGCCCTGTGATAAGGGAAGATTCCTGCAGTGCAGTCTGCTCCAGTCACCGATGGGCATTGGCAGTATGGGCTGGGAGTTCCAGTCCAACACATCCGGACTGCAGCACTCAAGAGCTGGCCTGCTTCCACTGCCACCTCCAAGGGAGGCTTGGTGAGCGGCACAAAGAGAAAGTGACAGCCCCCCAGTCTGTTCTGTAACTCCCCGCCGAGGCATGTCCGGTGCCAGCTGCAGTAGCTTTCCTAACCAAGTTAAGACTGTTCTCTTTCACAGGGTATTTAATTAGTTTATGATTAAATTGGGGCTTATGTCAGCTGCTTAAGCTATTGTAGCTTTTTGCATTGGTTTTCAATTCAGATTTTAAAATTCGTGTGGAAACATTTGACGATGCTTTCATTGTTTTCTGTATTTTATATTGTATTTTATGTGTGGATTGTTATACGTCGCCCAGAGTGCTTTGGCTGTTGGGTGGGATAGAAATAAAACTCATCCTCACCGTTTGGCAGGCACCAGGTTGGGGAAGGCTGCCTTCGACACACACCCTGCCTGAGCACCCACCTGCTGAGTCACCTGCCGCTCTCGCTTCCTTTAGGCTGACAGCTTTTGTGGTGAAAGTTCTGTCTCTGAGCCGTGAGTACCACGCTGTGGATGACTCCAAGATCCGTGAAAGTGTGCAGTGGCTGCTGGAAAAGCAAGAGCCGGATGGCTCCTTCACAGACCCAACCCCCGTCTATCAGCGGGAGATGCAGGTGAGTCCTCATGCAACCGTCAGGGCACGTCCGCAGCCCTCCCGGGGCACCTGCACCGCTCCGCTCCGAGGCACGTGGCTGCTGACTCCCTCAGTGCCTTGTCACAGGCCCGTTCCAGGAACACACGTCTTGGTCTTTCTCCCTCAGGGTGGTGTCGGCGGCCTGCATGGGGGGATCTCCCTCACAGCGTTTATCACCATTGCACTCAAGGAAGGCATGGCCGCATATGGAGGCGGAGGGGAAGAGAAGGAGGCACAGCTCGCTCAAGTGGTATGAAGCAAGGGACGGGGGCCTAAGCCAACCCTTGAAAGTCAGCAGCCGCCCTTCACAAGTGGAGGCATCTGTAGGTGGAGCATGGGACCCTGTGTGATGAGGATTTCCACTTTTCTCTTTCAAAGCGCGCGCACACACACACACACAAGTTACTAGTGCTTATGACTGATCCACGAGGATTTTACTGCAAGGCATTGACTTCTGCAAGAAAAGACATCAAAGCTGCCTTCCCTACCCTATGCCATCCTACTGTTTGGGCTTCAACTTTCACCATCCCCAGCCAGCATAGCCATGGGCCAGGGATGATGGGAGTTGCAGTCCAAACCACCTAGAGAGCAACAGGTTGAGGAAAGCATGCATAAACACATGAGTTTGTGAAGAAGATTGGAGCGGATGCAGCATGATGGCTACGCATGTTGAAAGTCCCTGCACTAAAACCCTTTAGGCAAACTCCATCCCTTGTTCCAGCAGCACCGAGCGAGTGAGAAACAGCTTTGATCTATAAAGACAAGAAGGTCCTTCCTCTGATTCATATAGAGCCATAAAATCACAGATTTGGAATGGACCATGAAGATCAACTAGACCAGGACTAAGTAACATTTTTTAGCCCATGACCACGTTTGGCAATTTGAAAATGTGACTTTGGCACGACTACAAAATGACTGCTGTGGGAAGTGTAGCAAAGGACAACTAACTTGCCCCAGAGACTTGAGTATGATGCTCGGTGGGGTGAGGGGAACTCCCTACATACTGACTTTGAACCTAATTGTTTGTTGTTGTTGTTAGTCGCGAAGTCGTGTCCGACCCATCGCGACCCCATGGACAACACTCCTCCAGGCCTGCCTGTCCTCCACCATCCCCCGGAGTCCACTCAAGCTCACGCCGACTGCCTCAGTGACTCCATCCAGCCACCTCATCCTCTGCCCTCCCCTTCTTCTTTTGCCCTCAATTGTTCCCAGCATTAGGCTCTTCTCCAGGGAGTCCTTCCTTCTCATTAGGTGGCCAAAGTATTTGAGTTTCATCTTCAGGATCTGGCCTTCTAAGGAGCAGTCAGGGCTGATCTCCTCTAGGACTGACCGGTTTGATTGCCTTGCGGTCCAAGGGACTCGCAGGAGTCTCCGCCAGCACCATAATCCAAAGGCCTCAATCCTTTTGCGCTCAGCCTTCCTTATGGTCCAGCTTTCACAGCCATACATTGCCACTGGGAAAACCATCGCGTTGACTATACGCACTGGTGTCTCTGCTTTTTAGTATGCTAATTTTTTATTAGCACTTAAAAAAACCTATATCACAGAAGATAATTTTTCCCACTAACTCATCCCCACCTGTATCTCTTTTTTACTCTCATTCTGGCTTATCACCTGTAAACTCTCTAACTCTATCTCTCACACACACACACAGAGAGAGAGAGAGAGAGAGAGAGAGAGAGAGAGAGAGAGAGTCAGAGTTTCCAGCTCCAAGAAAGCTGAGCAGCTAAGCCTTTGGGTCACCTGAAGCAAACTCTAGCCATTCTCCCCGCCACCCCCATGGACATCCTTTTCCCCTTTCCAACTCATTATCTTCATATAATGGCGCCAAGGGAACAAGGAAGGGGAACAGGAAAGGCTACAGCGAACAGCAAAAGGCTATAAGGAAGGGCCTGAGGTCTCCCTAACTGGTTCTGATTCCGTTTCTTCCCCTTGCAGAGAAACAGCCTGAATCGGGCTACTTCCTTCCTGGCTGGCAAACTGAACGATCTATCCCTGGGTCCTTACCCCATCGCAATCACCAGTTATGCCCTTTCTCTTGCTTCTGATGATCAGTCGGCCATCGTTGCTGCTGGTACCCGCCTGAAGGACCTCGCCTCGCAGGATCAAAGTACTCACTCTTTCTCCTAATTAAGTTCTGTTAATTCCTGGGGTTGGAAATCTCCTGTACTCAGCCCATGCAAGGGTATGGCTTAATGAGCGGATCCCCAGTCAAGGGACTGGAAGTGGAAGCAGGGCCAGATTATGCATTAGACCATAGGTGGGAAGATCTTTTTGGTCCAAGGGACAACTCCTCAGGGCTGTATGCTGCTCACAGTTTATTTTATTTATTTATTTATTTATTTTCCGATTTATATCCTGCCTTTTTCCTCAAAGGGCTCAAGGCAGCTTACATCATTCCCCTCCTCCATCTTATCCCCACAACAACAACCCTGTGAGGTAGGTTGGGCTGAGAGTCTGTGACTGGCCCAAAGTCACCCAGTCGGCTCCATGGCTGAGCGGGGACTCGAACCCGGGTTGCCCGAGTCCCAGTCCCACGCTCTTAGCCACGACACCACACTGGCTGTCATTCACACAGACACACATGCACCATTCATTTACAAATGCCATCCACACAGTTCTCACACACATTCCATTCCTATGCACACGTGCAACACCTTTCCAGCCGAACACCACAGCTGTTCCATACAGATCAGCTGAGGAACAGGAGAGCTAAGGAAGGGAAGCGAGGTGTGGTGAGCCAGGCGCCCCTTCCCAACAAAGGGAATCCCTCCAGCAATTGCTAAAAGTGGCTTTATTCCAAACAGCTACAAAAGAATCTTTATTCCAAACGGCTACAGAGCATTCGCAACACCAACAATACATTCAAAGCAGAAAGTTGACCTCTTGCTCTGACTGACCACCCCACACATTGCTTGTGAACACTTCTAGGCCTGTCCCTTGGGGGTGGTGCACTTTGGACGTGCGCCTGCCACCGCTCTTCAAACCATGTCTCCAGTTGCTCCAGCCGACATGTGCGCCTGCACAATCGAGCATCCCAGATGATCTCTGGAGCATCCTAGCCTGCTCTCTGTCAGCTCTGTTCTCACAGTTAACAGTAGTATCAAGCCTCCTGTCCGTCCTTGAAGTGTTTTGATCCTGTCCTGCCTCAGCCTGTCTCCCCGGGGATGGCTCACGACCCACCACAGCTCTAGCCATAACATCTCGAGAATTAGGGTGAGAACCCTGTACCGGTGGTGGAATAATAATTAACTCTTCTTCTCCTAATCTGGAGTCCTGATTCTCACCCAAGCCTTCACTCTCTTGTGCACGTGTGGGAATCCCAACTGAGCGCGAGTGCACAACACAAGGTTCCTGATCTCGATCATATTTTTAGCCTGGTGCTGTACAATAGGAAGTGCTTGTGGTGGTCTGGTGGCTGTCTCTAAACTGGAAAAACACCTCATGGAGGGGCAAGTTGCAGTAAAGAAGGGAATGGGGCAGCACATTGCTCTTTCCTTTGTCTGCTGTTGTAAGGATTTGGCCCAATTCTTCCAAAATACAGCATTCTAAGACAGAGATTTCAGGCTTGGAGTCTGTACCTTGAACTAGGAGAAAGGTAGAATCAGAACACTTAGCTGAAATGCCAAGGTTAATGAACTCTGGGATGAGCCAAACTGCTGGAGAGATCTAAATTGCTTCTGGTCCAAGGGATTTTTTGGGGGGGGGGGAACCTAGAACAGGGGTCCTCAAACTACGGCCTGCAGGCCGGATATGTCCCGCCATGGGCATTTACTCAGCCTGCCTCAGAGCTTTCAGACTCGTTCAGAGGAAAGGATCTCCGAATGAGTCCGAAAGCTCTGAGCCAGTGCAGGCATACTCTGAAACTCTCTCAGTTTTGGAGACTAGCAGAGAGCTGGCACACACACCAAATTGTGGCAGCTCCCTTCAACTGCAATGCGCTGGCTCTCTCTGCTAGCTCTGGCGAGCTCCTGCTGCTGTGCTGGTCTTGCCAGCGTGAACTGCGCACTCGCCGGCTCTTCCCCCTATTGCACGCATGCGTTGGCTTTGAATACAGAGTGGGAATACAGAAGAGAGGAGCGAATAAGGACCCGGGCATTGACCATCTCATTAGCCCAAAGCAGGCCCGTACTTCCCATTGAAATACTAATCAGTTTATGTTGATTAAAATTGTTCTTCATTTTAAATACTGTATTGTTTTTTTCCTGTTTTTTGCACTACAAATAAGATATGTGCAGTGTGCATAGGAATTTGTTCATATTTTTTTCAAACTATAGTCTGCCCCCCCCAACAGTCTGAGGGACAGTGAACTGCCCCCCTTTTTAAAAAGTTTGAGGACCCCTGCCCTAGAACAAGGAAGGTCAGAGGAGGAGGAGTGCAAATTTATTGGCCCAGTGGTTCATCATTAAGTCAAATGAGTGGACCACTTAAGTAACATCTGACATTCCCACTGTCTGACCCACAAGCAACATGAACCTCCCTGTGGGTGGTGCCAACTCCATTTGGTGGGAAAGGAAAGAAGGAAATTCAGTCTGGAATCAATTCTTTCCATGGGCAAGAACTAACTTGGCAATTAGAGGAATTGTTAACTTGATGGACATTTCTCACTAATGGCTTTTATGCTGTTCACTCTGTATTACAAAGTCAGCCTAATTCAATAAATAAACTCTCACAGTGAAAAGGAGAGAGAAAGGGAGAACAGGAGAGACATGCTTGCATTAACTGTTTCCAAACACTGGATTATCCCTGCAAGCCCTCTTTCCACATCATTTTGAGCTCTTGCACAGGGGGAACTCATATCATTTTCTTGTCAAAACAGGGTCTAGGTAAAGCAGTGAGCTTGCAGGCAGGAAATGCTGTAGAAATGGTGGAACCCCCCCCCCCATCTCTTGTGGCCCATGTCCCTGATTGGAATATTTGAATCAGATGCTCATGGAATTACTATTTTTGAAAGCATAATATCCTCATCACAGAGCTCTTGCACCATGTCTGTTTGGGCCAACCATTCTTTTCTCTCATCCTCATGCTCCCAGACAAAACGGTGCTGTTCTGGGCTGCAGAGGAGCAGGACAAACTGAAAGAGGGGACCTTTGATTCGAAGCCTTCAGCTTCAGCTATTTCAGTGGAGGCCACAGCCTATGGGCTTCTGTACTTGGTGATGCAAAATGACATTGCAACTGCTGGCAAGGTCTCCCGGTGGCTAACAGAGCAGAGGAACTACGGTGGCGGGTTCAAATCCACCCAGGTACCATCTGATATACCACCCGGCTTTTGGGAAAGGGGCATCACTGTGGGATTTGAGAAGGGGCGACAGGAAGAGATTAAGATTTGGGTGCATTTATTTATGGGTGTCAGACTGCATGTCAGTTTGTTTACAACAAGGGTGGACATCTTTGGGTTGGTCCGAGTGCCATTTCTGCCCTCCAGAAGTTTCCTCATAGGTAGCACCAATATTGTAATGGCATCTACAGCAGCCACAGAGCACCAAAATAGTCCAAGGTCACTTGTTTGTGACCAGGTGACCTAAAATGTGCATTTTACAAACGGAGATGAAAGTGGAGGGTCATGACATCATCTGGAGGACCTGTGAATGACCATGAGCAGGAAAGGATGGGTGCACAGCAAGTGCCTCCTCACCAGTACCCCACCCCTCATTGCAGGGAGAAGCAAGTGCCTTCCCCTCACAGTTGTGGAACTGATCAAACGCCTGACTTGTCTGCTGGCCTCTTTTCAGGACACGGTTGTGGCTTTGGAAGCTTTGTCAAAATATTGGATCAGCACCTTCAAAGAAGAAGGCAATGAACTGGAGGTGACCCTCAACCTCCCTGGCAAAAGCTTCCCCATGGTTCATTCATTTGGAAGGTCTAATGATCCAGTCCAGAAGGAACTTCAGGTACATGAACATAACTTGCCTGTGGCACTTTCTGATCTTTGGGCGTTTCTACTTGGTTGGTTTCACATCCACCATTTTTGGGCAACTTGGTTCCCATCAGATGCTTGGGACTACAGTTCCAACCAGCATGGCCAGTGATCAGGACATATGGGAACTATAGTCTAAAACATTTGCTGGGCACTGGATTACCTACTCCGGTTTAAGGCTGTATATGTAAAATGGAGTTTGCCTGCCGGTGCTTAACAGAGCCCAGTATTATCCAGCAATGAGGCCTCACTCTAACCCTAATCTTTCAGTGATGTCTGCTCTTGAGTAAGTCCCAGTCAGCCCTTTTAAAGTTCATTGGCAAGCTTCCCATTTGTAAGTGTAACTTGTTTTTCTTACTCAGTGTTTTTAATTAGTTATTAAGAACAAGTTTGTTAGATGGCCCGGGAAACCCCTTTTGACTAGCTGTGTTTCTATGTTATTCAGGTGACAGAATTCAGCTTTTCCTGGTGCAGGATTCTGTTACCTCAAAATAGGATGCATTATTCTAATGCAGCAGACATACAGCTTTGACCATAAAGACTAAAAATGTGTGAGGGGGGATGTTTAAAGGAAAGAAACTTGAGTACTTTGGGTTCCTGTCATCTACTGATATGTACTCAGCAGCCTACCCTAACCTGATATCCTCCAGAGGTTTGGGACCACAACTCCCATCATCTCTGACTACTAGCCATGCTGTTATTTCTTGAAGATTCTTGGCCCAATCTTCCAATTGATACTAACAGAAAGCACCCCCCACACACACAAGTTTAAATGCAACATAGGGGGCATTTAGGAAGGGGTAACTCTCCAATGTTATTCCTATCAAAATCCCACCCTCAGACCTGGCAGTTAAACTTAAAAATCCCACCTCTGTTGACAGTATTTTTTAAAGAATTGCAGGGAGTCTTATTTAAGAATAAGACTTTTTTTAAGAATTGCAGAGAGGCTGAGAGAGAGACATGGCAGCTTGTGAGGCAGAGAAGATTTATCCATCCCACCCCAGCTGCAATCCCTGTCAAAATCCCTCCCCCATGTCCCCCATATGGCAGTAAGCTGAGAATTTTTCCCCTTTTGTATCAAGGGAAACTTAGTGTTCTGGGGAATGGAGCCCAGGGCCTTTAGAAATATATTCAGAGCTGTGGTCGAGACCCAGCAGTGCCCTGGTTATTGATGGAGAAAGAATGGCTCAGGGGATGGCCAAAGAGAGTGGGGAGGGACCATTTCATCCCTTGCCTCCCAAACTGGCCAGGGACTTCCATCCTTCAAAGCTTCCAGATTGACAAATTGTATGCTCTGGATAGGTCACTCACTTCCACCTTGCTGTTCTCTTCTTTTAGATTCCTTTGGGAAGTAACATTGGTGTACGTGTGCAAGGAAAAGGGAAAGGAATTTTGACTGTGAGTATCATTTCCACATTTTTTAAAGCTTTAAAAGCATGGCTTCTTTCTCTCCCTCGTCGGGATGGCACAACAGCTTGTCTTCCCCACCATCCACACACATGTTTATCCTCATAATGACCCTGTGAGTGAGACTTGGCATAGGGAGAGTGGCTGTCCAAAGCTCCCTCAGTGAGATCTGTGGCTATGCAGGGGTTTGAACCAGGTCTCACTGATCCAGGTCCTGTTTTGCTATTACATCGCGACTTCTTCTGAGCTGCACTGGATGAGTCCAAAGGCCCATCAATCCCAGCATGCTGATCCCAGAGTGGCTGATCAGCTACCTCTGGGAAACCCACACATAGGGCATGGGCACTCTCCCACCCATGCTCCCCAGCAGCTCATGTACATACTGGTGGCAATATATAGTCATCCTGGCTAACTGCCCCATTCTTTGCCCTCCCTTCTCTGCACTTACTCTGCAAATTCTGCAGGCTTTTGCAGACTTCCTGACTTGCTTAATTAATATTTGTGAGTTAGTGATAGAATATTATGGCACAGGATTAAGTTTCCCTACTCCTGCTGTAACTGCAACTAAGGAGGCCTCTGGCCTTTGTTTTCTGTTCCCCGTAGGTCCTGAAGCAGTATTATGTCTTGGCCATGCAAAACACTTCATGCCAAACCCTTGGGTTAGAGGTGACAGTGAGCGGCACCGTTCAACGTGATAGTAAGTCAGGGTTGGGGAGGGGACGCCTCTTTGCAACTCTGATGGAAAGGTGATTGCCACCAGTCCCCCATTCTCTGGTAGCCCCTGGGCAAGTTCCAGAAAGTTTGGCAGCCCTGCAGGGGAAAACGGAGGGATAAAAATGTTCAGCACACCATTGTAAGAGCCCCCGACATTTTCTTTCTTATTCTCTCTCTCAATAGTTGAAACAGATGACTATTACTATGATTATGAAGATGAACCTGAAGCACGGCCTGCTGACCAGCCATTATCACCCATCGGTTTGTTTGATGCCCGGCAACGCCGGCGGAGGGAGGCCACAGACCCTGGAGAACAACAGCGAGCTATATCCTACAATGTCTGTTTCTGGTGAGTTTGAGAGGAACAAATTTTGGCAGCAGAGAAACAGAGCGAGTCAGAAGGGGCCTTCCATGCCATCTAGTCTGACCCCCGGCTCCAGCCGGTTCTGCTCATGACACGCCATCAGATGGGCCATTTCCTGTTTGGAATCATTTCATAGGCAGAACTTCCTCTAATATCTTCTTTCCAGATGCTGTTTCCTTTCAGCACTTAAAAGTTGGTTTCCCAGGGACTGTGGGAAAGAAAGAAGTGCTCTGATTTGCCAGCTCTCCCATTCTGTGTGAGAAGTTACAGATGTTCGTCGTCTGCCCCTTTTCTTTACTGTGTGCTTATTCCTCCCTGAGGAATACAGGACCATGAATGCCTCCCTTAAAGCCTCCGAAGAAGCCTGCAAGTAGACTAAGCAAGCAGCTGGCCAAAAGTCACCCAGGAAGCTTTGCATCTTGGCCTCTCCAGTCCAACACTTGGTCGTGCGGCAGGCAGCCCGTGGCACTTCCAATGACTCCAACTCACAATGGTTCTATCCAGCACGTCATGATGTGAATTGTAGTCCAACAATATGTGGAAGGCCACAGGTTCCCCATCCTGCTCTTACCACCACGCTTCCTTTCCCCTCTCTTTTTCATGTTATTTTAACTCTAGGAGACTGGTCTGGTCAGGGCACCTCACTTCAGATTCAAGGGTGCTTAGGAAGAAATGAAAGCATCTCTGTCAAAGATGACAGAGAATCATGGTGAATGCAGAATATAAGCAAGTAAAACAAAGCTCATGCTCCCACTTTCTGTGGCTATATGGGTTCCTTTAGTAGGCCAGGAGATGCTCTGTGGGCCCCCAAATTTACCTGGATGAGTGACACATCAATTCCTCTAATTATGCTCTTGTCATGGGTGTTATCAGCTTCTCCTCCCCAACTATTGCCAAGTACCTCAGTAAGCATCCAGACTCCCACCCCTCCTTCCTACATGCAAAGCTACTTCAGTAAGGCAAACAGTTTTGTTTTCCCAGCAAAAGCAGTCCTTATCTACAGAATGACTGGGGAAAGCAGTCTCAGGGCCATTACCTCTGGTGCTCTTGCTAAGGCCATGAGGCTTTGGCATGGCTTCAAGAAACTATTCTGGCTTTCAGATACTCGAATAGGTCACCCGATGAACCTTATTAATCTGCTGGCCAATCTTCAGTTAAAGCCCATACAAGACAGATCCTTTCTTCTTTTTCCCCCCACAGGAGGCAGCCAGGGGCTCACATCACAGGCATGGTCATCATTGACATCACCCTTCTGACTGGCTTCCAGCCTGACGAGAATGACCTCAACCAGGTGACTGTGGGAGGGGAGGTGGGGGAAGGCCTGCCTACATCTTCCGAAACAGGTGCTGAGCTCAAAGAATGTCTCTTAGACATCATACTCTCTGGCACAGAAATTCATCTTCCCCATTTATCTTGGGGCTAAACCAGATCCTATGCCTACGTCAGGAATTGGCATCCTGTTGCCTTCCAGATGTTTGGATTAGAACTCCCATAAACCCATGCTGGCATGGCCAGCAATGAGGGATTATGGGAGCCGTAGTCCCAAACATCTGGAGGGGCTCAATATTTTAAATTACTTTCATGTAAGCAGATGGGGCAATCAGAATTGAGACTACTATATGCAAGGAGTGGAGAGGTTATATCTTCCCATGTGGTTGGTTTTGCCCCCTAAATTTACACACACACACACACACACACACAGTGTTAACAAAGGGTGAGAGAAAACCTGTTGGTGCTAATTAAGTTTTTCCTCTTTCTGTAGTTCCTACATAGTGGGGGGGGGGGGGGGCGGATTAGCTTGCCAAATCACCTGGGCGGGAAGGTACACTTACTGACACAAAGAGGTTCCCAGTCCAGATCAGGCAGCTCACACACTTGGATGACAGGGTTTTAAACAGTTAGGATCATTGGGATGCTCTGCATGTAGTAAAGGTAAAGGTTTTCCCTTGATGTTCAGTCCAGTCATGCCTGACCCTAGGGGCCGGTGCTCACCTCCATTTCCCTCCAAAGCTCGTGTTTGTCCGCAGACAGTCTCTGTGGTCATGTGGCCAGCATGACTAAACACCGCAGTGCACGGAGCGCTGTTACCTGCCCACCGAAGGGGTGCCTTTTTATCTTCCTGCATTTGCATGCTTTCGAACTGCAAGGTGGGCAGGAGCTGGGACGGAGCAAAGGGAGCTCACCCCATTGTGCAGATTCAAACTGACAACCTTTTGATCAACCAGCCCAGCAGCACAGCGGTTTAAACCACTGCGCCACCTGCATCCCTTTTTCTGCGTGTAGTATTGTGTCAATTATCCCTGAGATATGCAACGGGGACGGTCAGCACTCACACGTTCCTGTTTTGCCTTCCCAGGTCCAATTTTTATGGGCCTTCCAAAGCAACCAAAAATATGCCATCACTAGCATTGCACTCCCCACTCCAAGGGGCAAGATCTTATTCTAGACTTTTGCTGCATCCCCAGAAGCACAGCGTAAGATCGTGGGGAAATCGCCTGTTCTTCTGAGCTCGGAGCACCGTGTGCAGGCACCAGGAACAGAAAATAAGCCTTGGTGCACCCAGCCATCCCAAGCTTGCGCTGTCCCTGAACTCAGTGGGCACCCCAAGCTGGGAGTATCCGTCAGGCCCAGAAGAGAGTCTACTTGCCCCTCCACTCAGAGATGCAAGAGAGAGGTGGAAGTGCACAATTGGCTCGTGTTGCATCTGCCCCTGACCGTGTGGGAGGTACTGGCTGGGCACAGAAGCAAAGCCATGTGCCTCCAACTCTGGCCTGGAGACCAGGGATTGATACAGAATGGTGATCAGAGCCAGCTCTCTCACTGGGTCTGGTGAGGCAGCCCCCTGCGGTGGCAGACACCAAGGGTGGGGGGCAGCTGCAAGGTGGAGAGAGTGGTGCCAGCCCTATGGCCTGTCCTGTACCCCCTAAGTCCAAAATCAGGCAACCGAGAATAGGAAAAATGATGGGGGACACATGGTCTCCCCATGGGGGCTGTGCTCCTCTCAGTTTGAAGTGAACTGATGTCTCATACTGGAGCAAGAATGTCAAGTGTATCTCAGAAATTGTAATCTGGCCCTGTTTTCAAGAGTCAGCACATCGGTTACAGTCTCCTCATGGGAAGGACTGCACCAATGGTGTCATGTCTAGAGCTGAGCTGAAATTCTTCCAAATACATTTTTCTGAGAAGATCACTGAGGTTTTTTCCCTCTCAGTCCCTTAGAAAGCAGTACTTCTTACAAAACTTTCTCTGGATGCGCTCGCGTGCGCGCGCGCGCGCGCTCTCTCTCTCTCTCTCTCTCTCTCTCTCTCTCCCTCCCTCCCTCCCTCCCTCTCCCCCTCCCTCTCTCTCTCTGTGACTGCCAGGTTTTGTCCATCCACCTACAATGTCATGAATGATGCTAAGTCTAGAGTATTGTGTAGAGCATTGTGGATGATACAAAATGGTGGTCAAACATAGGTGCAGCTCCACTTCCATCATAAACCAACCCTTAGGAAGGAAAGAAGGAAGAAGCTGTCCACCTGCCACTGTTAATGTTGAGGCATGTCTCTGAGAAACTGCTGGAGAAATTCAGTGAATGTTCCCTCCAATTTCTCTCCCCAACGGAGGTGAAGAATTTTGAGAGGCCATTCGCATGCGACCCTGGACAGGTAGCTTCTTTTCAGGGCAACAGCTTGTTTTGTTCCATTTCTGTCTCTTGCTCATGTCCGCAGCTGCGAGATCTTCCAGATCAATACATCAGCCACTGGGAGATTCAAGGACGGCGGTTACTGCTCTACATCGAAATGGTGAGAGGCTCTTGCTAGAGGACATAAGGAGGAAAGAGGCAAGAGGGGAGCTCTCCCCAATCTCTTTCCGTTCAGGCTGCAACTCCAGCATCCCCACTGCCATGTTGGCTAGGACTGATGAGAATTCTCGTCCAGCATGCACGCTGCCCAAAAACCAAATGGTAAAGCAAAAGATCCTTTTTAAAAACAAACTTTTAAATAGATGGATCCAACCAGGGTCCAGAAGGTAACATATTCCAGTGACCGGGAACGGCCTGGTGTTGCTCTCATTCCAGACTTGCAAAGGTCCAGGTTGTGGTGCTGCTCAGTCTGAAGGGGCCCTGCCCATATTTCTCTCTGGGATCCCTCCCACCACCGCACTGCTTCCCCTCATCTCCTACATGCCCCCGACTGCATGGTGGGAAGCGAAGGGATAGGTCCGTTTGGGGGTACAGAGAAATAAAGAAGAAAAAGACTCATTCCTTCCCCTCCACCTAGTCAATCGGGGGTATGTGTGAGACAGAACAGGACACTTGCTTTCCTCCTTGAAAGTTGTTTACAGTTGTAAACCTGTGTAAAGTATTTTAAAGGCACAATCATATGCTAATCCAGACAGGCCTTTGGTCTGTTGAAATTCTAATAATTTATTTCATTTTTATACTGCTCAGCAGCCAAGGCTGTCCGGGCAATTAACGAAAGTTAAAAACACACAAACAACAAAAATCAACATAGAACAACAAAACCACAGCAATTGCAATCGAATCGGCATAGAAGCATAGCAGCAGTATGGAATAAAATGTAATATTAAAACTAAAGTTAAAAAGTGAGACTGTTAAATGCTAGGAAAATAAAAAGTGTTTCACTTGGTGCTGAAAAGAATACAAAGTAGGCACCAGGCTCACCTCTCTGGGGAGCTCATTGCACAGCCAGGGTGCCACAGACAAAAAGGCCCTCCTCCTGGTAGCCACCCCCTGCACCTCCTTTGGAGGGGGCTCCTGGAGAAGGACCCCCACAGATGACCTCTGGATCTGTGTAGGTACATATGGGATGACATGCTTCTTCATCACTTGGCCCCATAGGATTGCATAGGATTAAGCTCTAAGAAGCTGAAAAAAGGAGCTCACCTTCCCACTGCTGGTTGTGGTTGTTCCCAAGTACTGGCAGCAGTGGCAGTGGTCAGATTATATTTCCTTTCTCCTCCTTTGCCTTTTCTGGGAGGTGCGCGTGTGGGGCAAAGCTTGCACAAGCCATGATCTCTGTCGGCTCTCAGGCACGACAGACGGGTGCTTTGCTTCACCCTCACCCTCACCCTCTCTGTAAAAATAAAAGGGGAAGAAAAGAAAGAGGACTGTGTCATTTGGGGATGGGACTGCAGGGTTATCCTATAGTTAGCCCTAATGGTGTCAATGGGAATAGCAGATATGTGGGCTGATTAGTCCTCCTTGTCTTTGAACAAGCAGTTGGCGCTCACAGTCCTTAGCTGGATAAAGCAGGTGGCATGATCTTTTTTTTTCTATTCCACTGGGATTTCTTTCTTGGTAGATTCACCAGTGGCCTGACTTGGTACAATCAGTGCATCACAGGCATCTTCTTGGTTCTCCGGCTTGCTTGCTGCCTTGCTTCCTATTTGTTTCAGTTTTGTTGTTGATATATAGATGTTAGATGTCAGTGGACTTGAAGTCTGAGTTTCTGTATCTAATCTGTGTACAGGTGCCAAAATCTGGGCGTGAATGTTTGATCTTTAGAGCCAAGCAGACTGTGACTGTGGGAAAGCTCCAGCCATCCAGTGCCGCCATCTATGACTTCTATGAACCCAGTAAGCAAGGGCAGGCCATGGGGCAAAGGGCGATCCCCAGTGACAGGGCGGTGCATCTTTGCAGTGGGGCCCAGCATTGGCTTGCCAGGGCTTGCTGACAACTTGCTGGTCACAGTGGAGAAACAAGGGAGCTCTTTTCTCTATTAAATCACCACGTCCTTCTCTGTCCCCAAAGGTTAGAGGTTTTAGCAGATGCATTTAAAGTTAATTGTTATAAGAAGCAGGTGATTAGTCAACTAAAATATCTTCAAAATGTTGGCAATCCTTGTATGTGTCCTTGTTATACCAATGACCAGAGGTCTGGGCATCTGGGTGGGGGGGCACCAGGTTAACTATATAAGCATTATAAATAAAACCAAATATAAGTAACAGTTTTTCAAGTACAGCATGTAAATGTGAACTGTTTTCAAAATTCCAACCTGACTAGCACAAACCATGGATAAAACTAAAGTTCAAGCAGCCTTGAAGGTATTAATAATCTTTTAGGAAACTTTTGTAAACCTTCAAGCTACTTTATAAGCTGCCAAAAAAGGGAATGAAAAACCATAACATTCTGACATATATAACTTAGCATTTATAACATATATGTTATATATATATAACATAACATACTGAACTATCCGCCAACCTTTACAGGTAATAGGCCCAAAATAAAGATTTTTCCCTTTATTTGCCCACACCTGCACACACATTTTCCCTGCACATTCGGAATTACCTTTCCATGAATGCTTTCCTTGTCTTACAAACTGAGTGACTAAAGAGCATCGTTCATCTGTTACACACTCACTGTTTTTCTGGAACAATTCTGTTCATCTACAGGCAAGCGCTGTAACATTTTCTATGGCGCCCCCAATAATCCTCAATATGTGTCTGCATTGTGCTCAGATGACGTCTGCCAGTGTGCTGAAGGTAAGATTGCTGGACTGACTTTAGGCTTTTTAAGGTCCCCGATCAAGATTGTCAGTGGGCAAAAGGACTACCCCACCTACGGTATGAACTTTGCCACTCAGGGAGTTCTAGATGAAAAAAACAGGAGTGTGAATTAAGGCTCACTAAAACAACTCCATTTAATCTCATTTTTTAAAAAATTGGGTAACCTCCCAAACAGAGGGAACATTATGGACATAATCTACCTTAACTTTACCAAAGCTTTTAACACAGTGCCCCATGTCATTCTGATAAACAAATTAGCAAAAGGTGGACTAGATAGAAAAACGATTAGGTGGATCCAAAATTGGCTGCTAAATCGGACACAAAGAATGCTCATCAATGGCACCTTCTCAAACTGGAGGGAGGTAACTAGTGGGGTGCTGCAGGATTCTGTCCTGGGCCCAGTGCTCTTCAACATCTTTATTAATGAATTAGATGAGGAAGTATAAGGAAAGATAATCAGATTTACCGACAATACAAAATTGGGTGGAATAGCAAACAGCCTAAAAGACAGAATTAAAATCCAGGGCAATCTTTATAAACTTGAATGCTGGGCTGAAAGCAACAGAAAATCAATAGGGACAAGTCCTCCTCCTTGGAAAAGGAAACCTAATGCATCAATACAAGATGGGGAATACGTGGCTCAACAGAACTGAAAAAGAAAAAGACCTTGGAGTTATTGAGGACAGCAGGCTAAATATGAGCCAACAATGTGATGCAGCTGCAGAAAGGGTAAATGCTATTTTGGGATGCATTAATAGAAGTAATACTTCCAAATCACAAGAAGTAGAAGAAATTCCCTTATATTGCTCACTAGTCAGACCTCATCTGGAATACTGTGTTCAATTCTAGGAACGAAGTTTTAAGAAAGAACCAGAAAAATTAGAAAGGGTTCAGAAGGGTCAACAAAAATGATCCAGAGTTTGGAAACACTGCCCTTTGAGGAGAGACTGAGATAACTGTGCATGTTCAGCCTTCAGAAGAGAAGACTAAAGGATATCAGTCTATAAATATCACTCTATAAACACCCCAAAGGCTGTCATAAAGAGGAAGGTCAAGATCTCCCCTTGCTGATAGCAGAGTGGAGGACACAGAATAATCAACTTGAGTTGCGACAACCCAGATTCAGGCTAGATATCAGGAAAAGCTTCCTCACTGCAAGAGCAATATGGCAGTGGAACCAGCTGCCTGGAGAGATGGGGGGCTCTCCCACACTAAAGACATTCAAACAGGAACCGGACAGCCATCTGAGCGGGTTGATGTAAACTGGTGTCCTGAAACATCAGGACAGGGGATGGACCCCCATGATGATCCACATCAGGGGATGGACCTGATTGCCTTCTTGACCCCTTTCAGCACTGCTGTTCTATGATTCTGTGAACCTAACGAGCGTGACCACACTCAGAGCATTCTGGCAGTCAGGCCCCAGAAGATGCTGCTTGCCTCAGTCTGCACTGAGGAATGCTCCCTTGCCTCTGGTTTGGTGCAGTCTGGGAGAGCAGGTTGAAAGGTGTATTAGAGAGGATGTTGGGTCCTTACAGAATTTATTGCAGCAGTGGGACTGCCTTCCATTTCAGAGAAGGCCACATCCCAGTAATGGGTGGGACCGAAGGCAAAGGGGACGAGAACCAAAAGCTAAAAGAGAGAGTAACTAATCCAGCAGCAATTTTAGCTGAAAGCGCTTAGTACCAGTAACTGAACCTCAGGTGAAGGGCATTTCAGCCTTTCAGAAAAAGGAGACTACTGCACAAAATCTGGGAGACCACCAAACCCTCAGTGGCTGGAGGCAAAGGGTGGGGCTAGGGGAGGGGGCATGGCTATTTGGAGACTTCAGATGGTGTGGATTTGGCCTCGCAGCCCTGACTTATGGGATGCCACAGCACCTGTCCAACATTGCAGGGACAGCATTGAAAAGAGGCAGCTCTTTCAGGCCAGTCCACACTTTCATGCACATAGCAGTGATGGCAGTGCTGCCCAGTGGGCTGTCAGAACAACTGCCCTCTGGATTACCTTTCTGAGCAGCATTCGGAAAAACGAACTCTGGAAAGGCTTTCTGAGAATCCAGGTGCCTCAGGTCTCTGCATGCCGTCCACGTTCAGACTGCCTAGCCAATTGCCCTGTCTCTTCCTGAGAAATCAGTTGCCTCTCACAACCATGTTGCACTAATGTCCTGGAAACCAACCCCAGAGAAATGTGACCAGTCTTTCCTCTCCTTGCACAGGCGCCTGCCCACGTTTGAAGCATACCATTGAGGGCGCTCTTACAGAAGATGCTCGTTTGGAGTTCGCATGTTACAATCCCATTGTGCATTACGGTAAGAGGGTTCAGTCCTGGAAATTGAGCCCCCATCCTTTCTAGCCTGGCTCATTTTGGCTGTTCCCTTGTGTACTCCCTGCTTCTGCAACACACAAAGCCTGTTTAAGTTGGTGCAATCCTCTTGGTTGAGTCTCTTGGCTTCTCAGCTGCCTCTTCATATAGCCTACTTTCAGCTCTGCGCTTGTGTGCTGATCTAACTTAAACCTTTTCTATATGAGCCATTCGCTGCATGCTGATCATTCTCTGTTCATGGTTGGTTCCTTACCAATCACTGTTAACCCTCCAGTTTTGTTTCTGTTTGAACAGCAGTGCTGGGGAGGTTTTTAATTGCTGGGAAAATGGGATTTTTGGTGTGAAAGAACTAATACCACAGAATGCCACTGAGAAGTTAGCAGAACAGCAGAAAAGGAAAAGCTTATTTTGTGCTTTGATGTCAATATTCAGATGAAACAAAAAGTAGATCAGCAGATCATAGCCTTTTGCAGAAAAGGGTGTAAGTCCAAAAAAAGAGTTCATAGGATCAAATCCAGCTTGATCAGTGCCCTCAGCCATTAGATCTGAACAGATCCTCTTGTCTGCACATATTTTAATTCTTTAGAGCATGGGTCCTCAAACTAAGGCTCGGGGGCCGGATCTGGCCCGCCATGCCCATCTGGACCCACCACGCGCACACACGCATGCCGCCGCCCACCGCACCCCGTACACGGTTTGCTTGCTCGGAGAAAACAAGCAGTTTGCTTGCTCCGAGAAAACCATTTCCAAGCGAGCAAGCTGCTGCCTTGTGTGCCCGCCTCGAGGCCTGTGCCCACCCCGCCTCGCCGTGTGCCCCACCCCCACCGTGCCTGCACGTGCCGGCCCCTCACCAGCCCGCGCGCACCGCCAGCACCACCTCTCTGGCCCACACCCAGCACCGGCAGCTTTCAACTGGCTCCCTGGTGGAAAAGTTTGAGGACCCCTGCTTTAGAGGATGCACAGACTCCATTTTGGGCAAAGAACACACAAAGCAATATGCATTATCCAGTCAATTCTTGTTTTGCTGGATTCTCTCAAGTCATTTCTCTCCTTTCAACAAGCTTTGTCTTTTACCCACAGCATTCCGAGTGCGAGTGGAGCGTGAGAGCATAGAAAGTGCCTTCCGCGTCTATGAAGTTGGGATCCTAGAGGTCTTGAAATTCAGTAAGTGATTCTTGGGGGTGGGAGGTCTGTTAAGCATTATGCTAAACACCATCCAGAGAGCTTTGGCTGTGGGGTGGTATAGAAATGAAATAAATAATAATAATAAATGCAGAGCTTTCTAGCAGAAAAAAATCAAAACAAACGGATGAATACATGGATATTTGGGCAGCCTTTGTTCAAATGTATGCATAACTTTTTAACAACAGTAGTACATTTTGCTATATATTGATATATAGGGATATACAACCCACAAAGGACTTGTAAATATTATCCAAATTGTAATATTTTATTTTGTCTTTTTTCTCTATGATGTAGTTTGGTTTTGTAAATTGCAATAAAAATCAAATTTGAAAAAACCCTAAGAAAAAGATAGTTCCAAGAAGAATCCTGTAATACAGGGATGGGCAGCCTGCAATCCTCAGGCTAATTTTAGGCTTTTCTAGGTCTGATTTCAAAATCTCTCCACAAGTTAAGATCTCTTGCAAAAACAATTTGACTCTTTCCTGGCAGCCCATTGGGTGGGAGAAAAGAAAGGGGATGGAGGAAAATGAGCAGAGAGAAGGAAAAAGTGGCAGAGCAGAAGAAGATGGTGACCCTGCTCAGTGTTGGCTTCAGTCATGCCCACTCCCAGCAAGAAACCCACAGCTGATTACTGTGGAGAAAAGACACCCACCCACGTACAAATCTTTCCCATCCCCGCAGTAACAGACTAGGGTGGATCTAAGCAAGGCAAGGGCAAAAGTCCTGGTCACTCCCAAAGGTCTAAGCAAAAGAACCAGACAGTAAGAGATCAAGATCCAGCCAGCATGAACAGTCGAGCTGGGCAAGAAAGCAGAAACTGGAGAGAGAAGCAAGCCAGCTGCCTCTTCCCGCTTCCTTCTGCAGAGCTTCAGAATCCTGCGTATATGTACGCTTTGCGATGGAGGAAAGCTTCTCCTGACACCAAGCGGCCTGTTCCACCTGTTGTGAGCAGCAGGTGGATGTGAGAGAGCGGCTGATTCTTTTTGCGACACCAGCAGGCAAAAGAGTTCAGTCCCGGCTCCCTTCTGCTATGGCCCCAACCCAGTCCAGGCCCTACCCCCAAACTACAAGAAAATCACCATTATTTTTGTTTTTTGTTTTCCTACTTCCCAATAGGCAAAGCTGGCTGGGTAGTTTACAAAACCACACTTAAAGCCATGAATTACAAAAAAAAGTAAGATCAAAAACCTAAGAGAATAGGAACAGTGATAAAAGCAAAGTAAACTCCTTCAGTAGTGCAAAGTTCCAAAACCTGACCAATGCATTTTTTAAACTGAAGAATAAAAAAGCAAGGGGAAATGAAGAATTATTTGATCAGGTCTGCTCCCACTTGGCTCGAGCGATGCTACTCATCAGCTGCTGGTACCAGATTATGTACTGCTCTCTTACCTTGACTTTTCTTTTCTCCTCTCTAGCTGCGGACGTGAGCATCTCCACTAAAGACACCCGACGGTTTGTGGTGCGTGCAGCGTGTCGCACACGCTTGGCCACAGGTAGTGAATATCTGCTGATGGGACATGATGGGGAAACTCAGGATGCTCAGAGCCGGTAGGTAAACCGGTAGGTGTGTGTGTGCGTAGGGTGGGGGTGGAAATTACGCTTGCAGCGGACTGATGGAAGGGCCAGGCACATCAGTAGCCTAAAAGTTCGAGGCTGCCAAAAAAAGTAAACTTGGGCAGTTTGTCTGCTTTGTGGGATTTAAAAAAACAGAATTGCAAACTCTTGTTTTACTTATTGCTTGTAAAAAAAAAAAAACAGGGGGCAGAGAATATTTAGGGCAAGCAGCCTCCCTAGTCCAGAAATGGGCAGAGACATTGGAACTGCCATCTAGTAATTACTGCACTAGATTTCAGTGCCCTGCGAGGCCTTTATGGGAAGGAAGCCTTTGAGGGTGGAGATGGGGGCAGAATGAAACACCCAATGCAACCGAGAGCAGTGGGGCTTCTGTGCCCTTTACAGTTGGGTTGAAGAGAGGATTTCAGCCTTGCACAAGCTGTGCCTCCCAAAATTCCCTCTTCTGCACATCTGTGAGGGAGACCGGAGCTCTGCTGCCCTCCCTCAGAGAATCAGCAAGCGTAAGGCTTCCCCCTGCAAATGCTGGCCTGCCCCTTTCTTCCCAGAGCCAAGCCTCAAATGCAGATAGAGGCACCACTTGGGGGTGGGGGTGGGGCCTGGGAGAGGGCATTAGTTGGGAGAATCAGTGAAACAGGGAGAGTTAAACACCCTTAGTACTGCTTTTGCCTCTTCCCCTCACAACGATGTTGTTTGTGTAAATGCAGATTTGAGAATAGCCATTTGCCAAGCCGCATGCATCTTATCACTTCAGCTGTTTTTTTATATCGGGGATCAAGGCCAAGCTGTAGCTCAGTGGCAAAGAACGTGCTTTGCAAGCAGAAAGTCTCTGCCTCGGTCCTTTGGCAGCTCCTCACAGGCCTAGGAAAGAGCCCAGGCTAATCCCACTGTCGCCCATCCATGCTGACAATACTGGGATAGGCTTGACTCAGTCTAAGGCAGTTTCCAGAGTAGGGTTTGTCTACATTCTGATCCTGCCTTTCCTACAGCCCTCAGTACCTGCTGGATAGGAACTCCTGGGTGGAGGAGGTACCAAAATCCTCTCACTGTCGGGCCACCCGGCACCGCAGCGCCTGTGCTCGACTCCAGGAGTTCACCACTTCTTTTGCTGTGAATGGCTGCCGCAGCTGAGCCCAAGGACCTGGACCAGCACCACCTGTGCTTTTGCTCATTCTGATGCACCTTAGATTTCCCTGGATTCAATGTCAGTGGACTTAGAGATGCCAGAAAGCAACCCACGTCCCCACTTGCTCGATAATTTGGCACGCGATGATCATGCTCGGAGAGTTTAAGGATGTAAGAAGAGCCTTCTTGCGCCAGGACCAAATGTCCACCGGTCCTTTTGGGAACTCGGGAAGCGGGGCTATCGGAGAGCTGCCTCGCCTGGCACGCTCAGCGTTTGGCACCTCAGGGACCTCTCACTCCTGAACCGCGGAGGTTCTCTTCAGCAGAAGGGCTTGCACAAAATGGCGAAGGCCATGTCAGAGCCCTTTCACTCGCCATGAAAATGGCGCTTTGACAAAATAAAAGCAATAGCATTGCAGGAAAAAAATCAAAATGTTTTGTATAAGAGCAGACCCACTGACTTAAAATAGGATGAGGACCCCCCAGCCTATAGACTGGCCCTGGCCGTCCATGCTTCCACAGGTCGGCACCCCCCCCCCCCCGTTCTCATGGCCATAGGCTTTCCCCATCAATTGATTGCTGATTGTTTGGTGACTTCCCAGGTTTTGTACAATTTTTCCCATTCTAAAAGATTGATATACTTCTCCTAAAGTTTAGTTCCTGGCAGTAGGAGCTTTAAGTTAAAATATACTGGCATTTTTGGCTGCATCCCATCTTTTCCCTCAAAGCTTCTCTGAAATGGAAGGAAAAGGTATGTCCTTCCAACTCTACTCTTCTATGACTCCACATCTGTCCCACGCCAGTTTAAAAGTTGCAAAATGCCTTGTATTTTTTATTCTGTGGCCAAAATGGTAGTTACCAGTGATGTGCGTATCACTTTGCATTCATAGAAACACAAAAATGCTTGCCCACAGCTCATTTGACTGTAATAAAGCTATTTCTAGGACCTGTTGCTTTCATTAAAAATGAGCATTTTGTGAAGTACTGCCTGACATCAGCACCATGCATAAGCTTGAACAAAAATTTTGTCCGTGCATGAAAAATATTCAGATGCGTGACAATACTTGACCAAAGATGGAGCACGGACTTAATCCTGCTCATTTTAAAACAGAATGTTTGCCTTTAGTGCTAGTGATTACTACATATCTGGATGCCTCACAGCATATTTGCACTACTCTACTACAGCTACTTTGTGCAATAAAAAGCATAGTCCTCTAAGTTTGCTTCATTCCTTTACTAACAGTTAACATGCACCTATTAGTATACATCGGGGTTTGGCACCTTGTTGTCTTCTAGATGTTTTGGCCAAAAAGTCCTATTACATGTAGCTGGCTAAGAATGATTAGGTGAGACATTAGGTGTTTTGGCCTGTGTTTTGGCCTGCAAGCTGATCACTCATGGTCCACATAACGCTGTTGTAAAATATTCGGAAAGCCATGGCTATGGTGCGATATAAGAGAAATTAGTGAGTAAATCATACATTAAGAAGCTGCTCTACAAAACTACAACTGATTATTACTATTACTACTATTATTAATTGTATTTCTATAGCACCCAATAGTCAACGCTCTCTGGATAATTTACAACAGCACAATAAAATACAGATAATAAATACATTAAAATTACAGTAGAAAAATTAAAACATTACAGTAACAACACAAATTAAATCAGAAGACTTGTTAAGCAGCTAACTTAAGGCCCAGTATAATGTTAAGGCTAATGAAGTGTGTTGTCTTAGAGGACAATCTTAACCTGGTACCAAATCAATAGTGGAGTTTGCACCAAATCAGCCTCAGTCCTGAGTGTCTGCCATAACAAGGGGACTGCCACTGAGAAGGCTGTCCTGCTTGTGGCCACCAACCAAGCCTCCCTTGCAGGCAGCAGCTGGAGACAGGCCCCGAATCTTGATTGTCGTGTCCAGGTGGATTGTGGCTGAGAGGGGCATATCATCAAGTATTGTGATTATGAACTCACTTAAAGGTAGAGTTGAAGGACTTCAAGCAGCAGCAGACTGAAGGGGCAAGGTGCAAATCAACAGATCTTCCTCAACACTCATAGTTAAGTATGAATAATCCCATGACCCCAGACAGTATCAGAAGGTCCTAAGGTTGCACCCTCAATCAACTATTTTGGAAAGGTATTCCTCATTTATCAGAAAATTCTATTTATTCATCCAGCTGAAATAATTCACTAGGTCACCATGAAAGATGGATTCTCTTATCCTTGGCACCAATCCTAACAAATAGGACGAGTCTCCTTTATTTCACATCAAAACTCGGCATACTAAAAGCATCCTACATACTAATAGCAGTCACAGTTCTCTGAGTGCCAGTCCTTATGAAGCCATCCAGCACTGCCCATGCAAAGTAGGAATGTAAAAGTCCTGGTGGAACCCCAAGGTTTGCAAAAGAAATCTGGGGAATCTACTTCAAGATTTACCATATTTTTCCATGTATAAGACGATACTTTTCCTTCAAAATATTTACCTAAAAATGGAGGGGCGTTTTATATACGGGGGATGAGAGGAGAACCACGGGCGCGCTGCGGGGGGAGGGGACAGGTGCGATTGCGGGTGCACTCGAGGGCGCAAGCACGACTGGTGTGGGCATGGGCGTGTGCGTGCGAGCAGGGAGATTGGTAAGAAAAGTGGGGGGCTTCCTATACATGGGGGCATCTTATAGTCAGAAAATAGTCTTAATTAAAGATACATATCTCATTCAGTTTTGTCACATGAAGAAGCGGGGTGCCTGAAAGAATTAGGTTTGGACTGGGAGAACCCCATCCTTGCAGAAGCCGCTCCATTCCCAGCTGAAACATGACTGCCTCTTTTCTTTAACGTGCATCACCACACCCCAATGGTCAAAGAACCCTGAAAGAGGAAAACTAAATCCGAAATGCACATGTACAATAATTACGGGTGCTTCCAGACTTTGAGTTCAGCTGTTGAGGAGAATTAGGTATTTGCAGCCAAAACACTGGCAGATGGCTGCTCATAGTAGCTGCAGGTACTTTACATGGTGCTGGCATCCTCCAGGGCCTCTCTCACGCTTTCCAAGCACTTCCGTGGCTTTTCTTAGACTGAGGGAAGTTTAACATTACCTTGAAATGGAGAAGGGGACCAGGATGAGATGCTCATGTATTTCTGTGGTGTAGCAGAACAAAGAAGAGCACAGAAGAGAAAAACCTCAGGAAAAAATACATGTAAAGGAGCCATTCTTAATTCTGCAAAGAATCCAGAAGCAGAACCCCAAATAAAGTGGTGGGATTAAAAGCCTCCAGTAGAGAAGTCCATGGCTTGCATCTGAAATAGATCCCCATCCCTGGCTCCTTGACACATATCTTTTCGTCCTGTATAATGCAACCCAGCCTTACCAGGGCCACCTCTTAGGAGGCGAGAGAAGGTCCCAAACAAGTTCCCAGAACTGTTTTTCGGCGCCAGACTAAGACCTTTTTATTTAAAACTTATTTTAAGTGTTAATTTATTCTGTAGGATTTTAAAAAAATTTTAAGCCGAGATGCACCGGGTTTTAATATTTTTAGTATATAATTTTTTTTGTATGATTTTGTTTTGTTTTTGTTGTGAGCCGCCCTGAGGCTTTGTTGCGATGGAGCAGCATAGAAATGTTTTAAATGAATGAATAAATAAACTGCAATGGCAAACAGAAGACATTCCATCCGTCCATAATAAACCTGGAGAAAGCGGCTCTGTTTTCATGAAGCCTAGCAATATGATCGGTGTGGCATCTGTGTTCTACTTATGCAATTCATTCTGGGTGTGACTGAATGTTAAAGGGTTGCTGCTGATGGCATTGTAAGGGAGATGAGGCTTATGGACAAGAGTGTATTATTTATTTATTTAAAACATTTCTATGCCACCCCCATTGCAACAAAGCCTCGGGGCGGCTCACAAAGAATACATAAAAACACACATAAATAATAATAATAACAATAAAAAAAACATTTAAAAACCCCCGTGCATTCTCAGCTAAAAGTTTTAAAATCCTATTAATCCAAATAATTTAACAATTAAAATAAGTTTTAAATAAAAAGATCTTAGCCTGGTGCCAAAAAACAAATAATGACGGCGCCAGGTGGACCTCTCTGGGGAGCGCATGCCATAGATGGGGCACCACCGCAGAGAAAGCGGTGGAGCATATTAAAGGGAGCAACCGAACTCCCCTATGGCTAAGCATGGCTGGGGCTCATTGGAGGTGGAATCCAACCACATCTGGAGGACCACAGGTTCTCCAAGCAGGGATACTTTGATGGAGAGGCAAAATGGGCAGTTCCTAATATGCTAAGAGGTCCATGGTGCCACATAACCCAGAGACGTGGTGTGCAATAAAGGAAAATGATGCATTGACCAGCCCAGGCTGCCGCTGTGTGTGCCATTTTAAATACAACCTGTATTTTTGATTTGATTTGATTTCTAGTCCACCCTATTAACCATGTGGCTCCCTGGGTGGGTTACAACAATAAAGCCATGTAATACAGCATAAAAACACAAATCACAATTATAACATAACATTAAAACGATAAACAAATAAAAGGCATACCCCATTGTTAAAATGCCAATCAAAACAAGTTAAAAATTAAAATATTGTCAAAATAAAAAGGTCTTCGACTGGCACTGAAAAGAGTATAAAGAGGGCACCAGGCAAACCTCTTTGAGGAGCTCATTCCAAAGTCAGGGTGCCATTCCCAAAAAGGCCCTTCTCCCCTACTGTGTTGGAGTGAAATGAACCACCCAACTTGCTCACTTCGGAGAGTGCACGGCCTTTCGGGGCACTGGAGTGGCTAGTCGTCCCATCAACCCATTTTCTGCTATTAAAATTGTGGCAGCATTAGGAAATGTGCCAATATTTTCCTCTCCTAAGGCACCAAAACACCTTGTTAAGATGGCCCTCTTGAAGAGCAACAAAAAACTCTGCAGTTTCAAGTCAGTCTGAGGAAGGGAGAAGAGAAACCAGAATTTTAAGTTCTTGAGATGCTAGGGCTAAAGAAGTGAAACACAACTAATTACAAGATTTTGGAGGTTGCATCTGAATTTCTGTAACAAAAACTTACTGGGGTGTCTCCAATCCTTTCCCCACAAGCTATTATGTAGGATATATAAGATCTCCTCCCACCATCTGGGAGAGAATCAGACATTCACATCCTTTCCCCCACCAGCATTCTACATTTCAAGAAAAGCTTTACAACTTGGTTTGGTTGGTTGTTTCAACCCCCCACAATAGATGAAAAGGAAATATTGTGTGGAGTTGCAATAAACAACACATTTCTTCCCATTTTCGTTCAGAAGGTCAGACCCTCCCCATGAGAATAATTCATACTGCTTGAAATATTCAGAACACTTCAGACAAGAAAACACATTTAGCTATAACCCCTGCCCTTTCCATTCCACCTCTAGCTTGCTTATAACTTCAGAGTATCACATCTCTCCTCAGAAGATTAGATGTTTATGACTTCCAAGTGACTTTGAGTGCATGTAAACTAATCACAAGAGGTGGCTGCTCCTAACATGTGTGAATCATGTTGCGTACCCAGCAAGGAACCAACCCCCAAAAGGGGCCTGCTGACCAGAGGTCCCTGGATTTGCTGATCCTCTTAACCTTTCTTGATTCTGTCACTTGCTGTCAATTCATACGGCTCCAAATTCCTCGGGCTCTGAATTATGGCAGCCCTAGGAATGAATGCTCTCCACAATATCCTGTCCTGAATTTCCTTACGTTTTTCTTTACACATTCAGAGGTGCTGCTCAGATGGCAAAGCAGGCCCATTTCCCATCCCACAAGCAAGTGGAAAAAGAGAAAGAGGATGTGAGGCAAAAGCAGTGTGTGAATATGGCTGGGAGAGGAACCTGGCATGGCAGTACTCACTTGGACTCCTGTGTCCGGTTCTGGGCACCTCAGTTTAAGGAAGATGCAGACAAGCTGGAAGGGGTTCAGAGGAGGGCAACAAGGACAACCCAGGGACTGAAATGACAGCCCCATGAATCGAGATTGAAAGAACCGGGCATGTTCAGCCTCAAGAAGACAAGTCTGGGAGAAAAAAGGCAGCACTGTACAAGCACTGGAAAGGCTGTCACAAAAGCGAAGTTCAGGCTCTCTTTTTGCTTACCCTGGAGTGCAGGACGTGGAATACTGGGCTCAAGTTACAGAAAGGTAGATTCTGGGCATGTAACAGGGAAAAATTCCAGTCTGTTAGAGCAGTGCGACAATGGGACCAATTACCTGGGGAGGTGGTGGGCTCTCCCGCCCTGGAGGCATTCCGGATGCAACTGGGCGGCCCTCTGGGAGGGAT